TTACAGATTTCAACCCCAGGGTCTGACAATCCTAGATCACACTGATTTAAGTTATTGAGTATGTCACTATTGTTTAATAACTTAAGGGCTTTTCATACAAAATCCATATATAGTGTTATACATTTACAAAAATCAAGCAGCATTATAAAAGTTATTGAAGAAAGAAAGAGATCAAAATAGACTTGTTAAGTAGCCCTTCTTTATGGTCTCCGTGAATCACACATGTGGCTTATTTCAGACATGCACAAAACTCCTCAGAATGTTCTAGAGCTTAAACAGTCAGGTGTTTGATCAGCCTCTCCCACTGCACATGTCCATGTTCCCAATGACCATCCCTCTGTTCCCTTTTTGCTGCTGCTGAGGAAGCTTCTGGGAACGTTACCAAAGCCTCATGTTCAAAAAAAGAGAGAGACCTCTCTTTTTCATAATTTCGTTGTATTCTTATCATACATTGTTCATTTCCCTTCATGATTCTTCCTTAAAACAACAGAACTAGTTTTTTTTGTTTCTCTTCAGATTTCTTCTGGCTGGAGGTTCTCTCTCTTTCCTTGTTGACACTTTTCCTTCCAGGCCCTATTTGTCAAACTTTTCAACTTGTTAATTTTCTGTTGTAAAACTTTCTCTTCTTTGTCTGTGAAGATTTCCTGCCTTTTATGCCCCCACAGACTCCTTCAAGAAGTGTGTTTCATCTAGAAGTAAAATGCCCCTCACCTATGGACACTCAAACTACTTGTTAAGTGAGGAACATCAGATGCAATCTTGCCAGCCTTGTCAAAAATTCACCAAGGTTGCACTTAAAAATCACCAATCTCACTTAAAGATATCTCTTCAGTAACTTGGCTCATTCTCCCAAGGCTCTTTTGGGCCCCATATATGGAACCTGCACACATTGAGCCTGCCATTACATCCTCTCAAAGAGCAAGAAGCGCCACAATAATCCCCGTCCATCAGTATACTGTCAGTTTTGACAGAGTCCTTTGCTCCAGGGTCCATGACTTCAACATTAAAAAGATCATCACCTGCTGTTTTGAGAAAGAGGACTAAGCCTAAGCTTATTTATTGAGATTCTGCTCCCACTAAGAAAACCAAACAAGGTTAAAGATTCCGACAAGCAATCCAAAGATCCCTAAAGACTATTGTGAAGAGCCTCAGGCTTTCCAAGACACCCATGCCATTCATACTGAGACCGACCTTGTCTGTCTTGGTTCAGCCTCAGAGGAGGAGACAGGACAACCTCAAACCAATTACTGTATCTAGCTTTTAGCCAGTCTCCAGAATGGAGCTAATCACTCCAGCACTCACTACAGGAACTATCTGCCTTACAAGACTGTTCTCACCAGGATCAGCCTTGTCTTTAGAAACACTCATGTTCGCATGACTCCTCTTCCCGTTCAGTTTCTGCAGTCTGGAAAAGGTGCCCTGGTAAGAGTTCATGTAAAACTCAACATAGGAATATGTAGGAATATCCTTTGGAATCTTTGAGGCTTTCCATACTCTGGAACTGATTGTTACTTTCCGCCATCATTCATCATTATCCTGCGTTGTACAAAAGAAAGCAGATTGGCTCATTTGTGGGGATACCTTAGTTCTCTTTCATGCCTTACTGGTTTGGAGGCCCCACTTCAAAATCACCTATGGCCAGGAACAAGTGTCTAGATCTCCAAGATATGGAACTGGAGATTCCTTCCCATCTATTACAGAGGGAGAACAGCTGGAATCAAGACATCCTACTCTGAGCCATAGAACGTGGAATCTAGGAAGCACTCTTCCTGACACTGTGGTGTTCAACACCTCCAACTCATTCTCCTTGTTAAAACTGACAAGGATACCAGTTATAGACAGTCACCTGTTGTAACACATGAAGCAGTATTGACAGTATTCATAAAAAATACTGGTGAGGATTGTTGAATTGATTAGTTCAATTTTGGATACTAGCTGAAAGCTATGTATTGCAACACATAAAACAGTATTGATGGTATTCATAAAAAGAGCTGTGACTTACTTAAGAAATGTCTTTTGTCTGATGAAGTGGACTTGTCCATAAAAGCTCACATTAAAAAATATAAAAGTTATTCAAAGTGCCACCACTTTTTATAATCTTTATTTGTATTTTGTTTTCATCTATAATGCTTGCCTAGGAGGCAGCCTTCCATTCTGAAGGTTTCTCCACCTCCAAGCCCTCAGTTAGAAATGACGGCTCAAGAACAGCAACATCATCATTCTGAAATTCTGAGTCCATCACCAAAGTGTGTCACACATAACTGTTTGACACCGACGCCGTTTCAATATCAATCTGTGCTGTTGGTGTGAAAGTCAAAGAGCAGAAGTACAAGGAAGATGCTTAGCACTTCACCTTCCTCTTCTTCTAAGTTGGACCAATACAATGACTCAGTAGTGCAGTAGACCACACAAGTCTACCAGAACTTTTCCTCATGCTGAGACATACGGTCCTTCTAAAATGACTCAAATGAAAAAAAAATTCAGGGAAAGATTGTCTTACTGCCCTTTCTTCAGAATACCAAAAACATTCAGCATCATTTAGATGTTCTGTGGAAAAACATCACTGAAGATTCTCAACCTCTGGTTCTGGCACTGAATCATCCCTGTGTGAACTAGTTACTATACCAGAGTCTGACATGGCAGCAACAACACCATCACCTTCTGATGACTTTCATCTCTATTCTGAGGATGAATAAGGATGCCCCCACTCCAGTTTTCATCAACATGCTGCCATTTCTCCTAGATCTTACTAAGGAAGTGTGGAACAAGTTGTCCAGTTCACAACCCACTTCTAGATGCATCAAAAATCTATAGAATTTATTATATGTATGATTCCTATCTCCTCAAACATCCACAGCCAAATTCTATTATAGTTCAAGCTGCACAAACTAGAACAAGGGGACATCAAAGCACTACACTCCAAAACAGAGAGGGACATAAAATGATCCATTGGGCAGAAGAATTTATTCCGCCATATCCCAAGTCATCCAGATTGCTAACTACCATGGGAGCTTACCAGATTCAGTCTTTTCTACATAGCCTGCCTGATGAGGAGAAAACACTAGCTTATAAATGTCATCAGAAGATCATATTTCTTGCAGCCCAATAGATGAGATCGGTATGCTATGCCACAAGTTGTGCCACTAAAAACTTACCTGCTGTGGTTATGCTAAGGAGATACACCTGGCTCCGTTCTGCAGGCCTTTCTAATAAACACAAGAACAAGGATTTAAGACGTCCCTTTTGGTGGGGAAGGTCTTTTAAATTAGAACATGGATGATAATATTGACAGTATTCATAAAAAGAGGGCTAATGCCGAGAATGGGATTTTATCCTCAGTACCAGCATCAACGGTACCCATCTGGAGAAGACCTGTTTACTTACTCCACATCTAGAACACTTTCGGACTGGCAGAAATCTTTGTTCCTCTTCAACTCACTACTGTTCTCAGTATAAGTATAAACAACCTAATGTGGCTAAATGGCAGGACAAGAAGTCCAAGCATTATTTTATGGTCCTGGAAAAGAATGGTGGCCTGAAACCTGTCCTCAATTTGCAAGATGTAGAGATGTTTCAGAAACTACTAGGGTTGATGGCCTCAACAATGTTGGTCATTCCTCGTGCAATGAGGCAATCCCTGCAAACCGGGTTTCTGCATCCTTTGATGTTCTAATGGAGAGCATTTCCTGATATCTCCTTACCTAAAATAGTTTGTGTTCCATCTCAATCAGTCCATTATGCTCCCTAACTTTTTCCTATCATCCTCCTCAGAGAGAGAACTTTAAACCCTTTGGATGTTCACTGAGACTTGGCTTTCTATACTTAAAGGACTCTGCACATAAGGAAAACCAACAAACTATTTGTGAGTTATCAAATGTCACATATGGGAATTCAAATAGCCTCCTAGCAGTTATCCAAGTGGCTTATCAGTACAATCAAACTCTGTTAGCAGCTTGTAAAGAAAACAGTCCCTGTGTTCCTGAAAGATAATTTGACTAGTGCTGTTGTTTCTCCTTTCTTAAAGGAGTCCAGATCACAGATACCTGTAGGGCTGCAACCTAGTCTACATTTTCTACATTCATTAAACATTACACATTGGCTAAGATGGAGGCTTTGTTGGATACAGCCATAGTCTCTTCTGTAGTGGTGTAACATCCCACTAGCTGGTAAGCAAGCCTGTTAGTCGCCTTGTGTGTCATTCACAGGGACCACAAAGGAGGAAGACTGGTCACTTACTGTAACTGTAGTTCTTTGAGTGCTCATCTGTGAATTCACACATGCCACATCCGTCTTCCCCTCAGTTTGCCATGCCAATAATCTGCCTTACATGCAGCAGCAGGCTGGGGTAACTGAGGGATGGCTGTTGGCCGCCTGGACATGAGCAGTGGGAGGGGCTGATCGACCGTCTGACTGTTTAAGCTCTGGAGCATTCTGAGAAGTTTTGCACAGGCATGGAAACAACCCATATGTGTGAATTCATGAATGACCACTCAAAGAACTACAGTTACTGGTAAGTAATTTGCAGAAGAGGTAGCCATGTTAGTCTGAAGAACTACAGTTACAGGTAAGTAACTTGCAGAAGAGGTAGCCATGTTAGTCTTTTCAGGCATTATAGGTAAAAACAAAATACTGTAAAAATAAAAATTAACAAATAAAAAAGACCAAAATAATGGCACTTTTAAATTTGCTTTTATTTTTATTTTGTTTTCACCTATAAGGTAAGTAAGCTGCCCTTCTAATACAACCCTTGTTTTCTCCAAAATTCTTCACACCAATTAAAACGCAGTTTTGTAATACAGATACAAATATTTGAGTTTAGAATTTCCCCAGCAAGTATGGGTAGTCTAAAAGGATAGAAAGTAACTATAATGGCAACTTACTGAGAAACATTCAATTTATGTAACTGTAAACATTTGTTGAGATACTTGATCATTCACAAATCTGTTTCTGTGTCTATTTGCTGTTTTTCTAATTTCTTTCTGTGTCTCTCTTTGAATTAGAGCCCCCAATTGTCTCTGCCAAGACCAGTAAAATCCCTGCACCACTTTCACTTTCCTCTGTCCTTCGAGCTCCACGAATAAGAGTCACTAAGGCTGTGGTCTACAGTCCTGCTGCAGCTTGCGCGCCTCTCTCTCAAGGTCCCCCTGGCTCTTTCCAGTTTTCTTGCTGCCTGTTCTCTCCTTTTGCAGGTTGTGTGTGTTAGTAATCTACTGGGTTTTAGCAAAGTCATCTGTGATAATAAAGAGTCTCCTTTTAAAAAGGGGTTTGTGTGCTTCCAAATCTAAATACGTTCATTTGGAAATAAGTACTATTGATTTCAAAAGAACTTGTTTCCAATCAAACGTCCTTGGTGCTTTAACTTTAAATTCTTACAATTTGAAAACTGTGAAAAGGGTGCTCTTATTATAATAACTTGACATGGGTTTTAACAATAAATAAATCAGGGAATATTCAGGACTACTGATGCACAGTAAGGATGTCCCATGTTCTGAGCAGTGGGAAGACCACACCTTGAAATGGTGGGATGAAGCACCACCTCCCGACATGGCTCATGAGCTGCCAGAGGTACCACAGCTGAATTAAGAGGCTGATGAAACCTATATATTTTCTTTAACACAAATCTTTTCCAGCAAAAGTGATTATTACAGATTTCTCTGTGGCTTCTGAAAAGTTGCCTGATCAAAATTTAGCAGTAAAATTGCACATTGCTCTTGCCATCTTAGGCACTACAGTTGCATCCATGCAGCAGTGTGTCCCCATGAGGAAATGGCATGCATTGCTCATTTGGACTATGCTGCTCATACCAGTGCTTCCAATGTAATAAAGGACAGTGTTACTCTATCTGGAAGTCTCCTGTTGCATTTTAAGGCTCCTGTTAAAGAGTCCACTTCACCCAGTATATTAGTTTGCGACTTGCTATACTACATATTGTATTTTTGGGAAACTTCAGGCTGATTTTTTGGTTGAAATGTTGGTGTGGAGTTTCTTTTCTGTCATTAAAATGCTGAGGCTGCATAACCTGTTTGATCCAAAATACAGTGCTTTCTTTCAGAATTCTAGTTTTTGGGCTAAAACATTCTGTTTTTTTGATATGTTAATTCAGTGTTTGGACAGAGCCTACATGAAAACCTTTGTATAAATACTCCAGTTTAAACTTGACTGTGAAGTTGTTTGCCTTTTTTTAAACCCTCAAGGATTAGTTTGGTCTGTTCAAATGTCACAAGAAAAAGAGATTTCTTTTGTCAACCCAATGTTTTCCTGTACTTTCACTGTTTCTCTGGTGACTTAAATATAGCTCAAAGGAGTTTGCTATGCAAAAAGTAACAGAGCAGCTGGGAGTTGGATAGCAGAAACCCAGCAGCATCTCCTAGCGTAAGAGGATGCATCCTTTGGAGTGGCAGGTCATGTCTAGTCTAGTCTACACTATCATCTAACCTGAAAGAAGACTGATGGAAGTGGTCTGCCCCATAATGACTGTGCATGGAGAAAATCCTGCGTTTGCCTTTGAATATAAAGTAAAAGCTTCTTGCAGTTCCCACTGCACTCACATGAAAAATGTATCCAAAAGGTATCATATGCATTTACAGAAGAGAATAGTGATGAAATATTTGGGATTCTGTCTGTGAATGACCAGCTTCTGTCTTGGTGGGTCATGAAGAGAATGAGGAATAAAGAAGCTTGGAGAACCAAAGATGACAATTTTTTTTCCAATCTGTTATACATAATAGTCAGAATGGTTTTAAACAAATTTACCAAATAGCATAATAGAATAAAAATTCCAAGCCCATGTTAACATACATTGCAGGGTAGATGAACTGCTTTCATCTTGCAGAGTAAATAAAGTGCTTTCATATCAAGTGTGTGACAGCAGAAATGCCTAAAAAACCGGACTTGTGGGTGAGGGGGGCAGGGGTAGAGATGTGTGCTTAATAAGGAAAAAAATCCTTTGCTCTTGTTTTCTCCACTTACTGGTGGTAGTGGCCCCACTATGGCCAGCAGCAACAGGAGAGGATCTTTTGTTAACATTAAGATATCAATGTCTACAGCAAGGGGGGGGGGGAGAGAGAGAGCAGGGTACAGCCTTCTGGATGTTGTTAGACTGCAACTCCCAGCAGCTCTAGCCAGTGGTGAGGAATGCTTGGAGTTGCAGTCAGGAACATTTGGAAGGTTGCACTTTGACTACAAGTGGCCTTTCACAGTTGCACTCATCAGTGGCAGCCTCATTTTAAACCAGATAATTGGAAAATATCAGACATGTATTTTGCATATTATCAATTTCTGTGAGTGCCATTTTAGAATATTAGGTTGGTACATTACTTTAAATGCCCAATAAGGTCCCTGTAAGTAAGTTCCAACCGAAACCACATAATAACATTACCTTAAGCACATAGTTTGCATAAAATTTAGTACTGATGCCTTAAATTTTCAGAGTTGTTTCTAGAAGGGAAGAACAGAGAGCTACATATTTTCATCCTGAAGCAAAATATTTTATTACTGTACTTTGATGCTAATTGCATAGTGGGGGCGACTCTTTCCTAAAATTGGCTCAAATGGAAAGGAACTTGCACATGACACAATGGTTTATAGTCCCACTTAACTGATTGGAAAGCACATTTAAGTCTATGAATCAAGCTTTAGTTAGTTAATTATTGGCTGAAATGAATTAAATCCTTAATTGCTTTAGATAGTTTATTCTGAGTGAGAGCAACAGAGGTACTTTGGAAAGTGCAGCTGTGTCTGCTTCGAAGAGAAATACAGGTACAGCCCCTGTTGTGTGATATGCATTGGGGGTTGCTATCAATGGCAGTACAATTACTGTATTGCACCTTTGAAGCAGCCAAAGAGATATACGTCTTTCAATTCTTGCATCTATACAGAGAAGCAAAATGACAAAATGCAAATTGGTTTGTCCATTATCTCAGAAATGCAAGACATGTGTTGTATAGGTACAATATTTATGTATTCCTCTTATATTTATGGGCAGGAAAGAGTAAAGGGAAAAAAGATGAAAGAAGCTATGCTGGGTTTGTGCATCCTGTCAATTGCAAGGAATATTTAAGAGATGATGTTCAGGGGGGAAGATTGGTTAGTTATGCTTTCAAAGTATTTACTGTGTATGCTAAGGGGGCAGAGGAAAACATCCTTGAGTTAGTGACTAAAATCCTGTTAGCAATCACTGTGTGTAACTGCTCCATTGGCGGAGTGCCCCATAATTGCTCCAGCAATCTCCTACTTGCAGTTACACAAGCCAGGGATCACCCAGTTAAAAACACCAGGTTGTACATATGCATGAGGGGGTGATGACACTGTTTCTGCAATTAACATAAAAAGACAATTGCATACATGGAAAAAGCAAACAGGATTTTAGCCAACATTGATTAATTAAGAAACTGCTTTTATTTATGTTAAATTAAGCTATTACAGTATTTGAGTCTAGCTTAATAGGTTGTTCTGAATATTGGTTAAACGGCTGCACCTAATCATGCCTGAAGCTTGCTGCTTTGCATTCCCTAGATAAGTCTATTTGACAGCAACTCTAGCAGTTGGTGTCTTGGTCTTAATAAAGCTCTGAACTTGGTATCTGTTTTTCTCCAGGGAGAACCAGAACCATTGCTGCGACGACTGGAACCCAGCCTGTATCAGATCATAGTAACCGGGAAGGATCTATTCAACGAGTACCTCGGCAACCAAGTGCCAGCAGGCTGCAGAAAACTGGGAAGAGTGCATAGCTGTGTTTGAAGGGATGTGTGGTTCCAGGTTTGCTGTGAAATTGTACAGTGGCAAATATAACTAGTCAAGAATAGTAATATTGCAAAATGTCATATACAGCTTATTTCAGAAAACCATTTTACGTAAATGAAGTGGAAGTTGCTTGCTACATAATACTAATAAAAATCCAAGTGAACCTATCCTGGTTATTTTGATTCCTTAATTTAAGATATCTGGTTATAATCCTAGGATATATTTCGCCACTGCATTTAAACTGAAAACATAGCATTTTATATTGAGCTGCCACGTCCACCACGTGGCTGGAGTCTCTTGTGTATGACACCTGTTGTGAACAAACAAACCAGGCAAGAGGAGGCAGCTTCGCACATTCTCTTCCCTGCCCTCTGTAGCAAATGGCTATCTTACCAAAAATGGAACAAAAAAAGATGCATAAACATTGGCAAAAGAAATATCAACAGAAAACAAGAAGTGAAAAAAGGATCTAATGTGCTGCTAAAGTCATTAAGATGAAGAACATATTGAAACCACTGTTTTTTAACTTGGATGGCAGTAATGTGGAGTTAGGTGTAGTTTGCCAGTTGCACCAGTATATTCACAGTGGCAAAATCCAAGAGCAATTCTAAAAGATATCTCTGAATGCTACATTAAAGTGGCAAAAGTGACTCAGTATGTGAAGTTATGCACAGTGGGGCAAAAAAAATCCCATTCCATGCCGGTGTGCCTAAACTGTCAGGAAGGTGGCGTGGGAGAGCTCCATGAAAAAGTTGTCCCAATGTGTAGTAGCTGTGAGAAAGGCAAATTTGACATTAGGGACTGTTAAGAAAGCAACTGAGAATAAAGGTTGCCGATATTCCATCTATAATCTGCACGCGCATGGTTGCTATATTTTGTTGAGCTGAAGTGGTTTAGTAAAGGAGAATTAGAATGATCAGACAGCAGCAGCAACTTTCTTATGAGGAATAGTTTTAGCAGATTTTTAGTTTACAAAAAAAATGTGGGAGCTAGGATACGAATATAATCGCAGTTTAGAAAATTAGACATGCGGTGGGGAGGTAGCAGGTAGTTTTCTATTTCAAAATGCCAGAGTTCAGTCAAAGATGCCGAGTGATAGGTGACTAAAACAGGACATGCCTCCTGTAGCTCACACTTGAAACTGTGGAATCTGTTGCCACCGGATTTGATGGTTGAAATAATGGAGGATAAGATAATCGGTTGCTACTAGTCAGTGATGGGTATATACTGCCCTCGGTGTCCGCATGCCTCTGAACACTAGTTTCAAAGAGCTGTTGCCCCTGAGTGAGCATTTGGTTGGCCAGTAGAGGAAACAAGATGCTGCTTTGGTCACAAAATCCCACCACATAGAGTGCTCTCTGGTTTAAGATGTCGGCCATTGCCTTCCTCTGGTCTCCTGTTCTCCCCTTCTCACAGTCCTTCCATACCAATTGAATATGCTTAGCTCTTACCTACACCAGATACCAGTGCAGGTGGGTGGGGGGGTATCCTCACCAATCTGTTCCCCACCAATGCTTTTGGGTCTCTCAAAGCTACATGTGCTGCTTCTTTCTGTGTCAGCAATGCTGGTTTGACTCCATAACGCCTGGTACTCAGAAAGTGAGATTGCTGCCAGTATATCTAGAATAGAACAAAGGAGCAAGAAGTTCAGTGCAAACAGCTGACAAATAACCTGACTTCTTGAGCAAGATCCAACTACCAAGCTGTGCCCTGAGCAGGTAACTAACTATTCCAGTTGGGGTGTCATGTGGCTGCTTGAACTATGGCCTGCAGTATTTCCTCACCATTCCTAGTTTATTTGTAGCCTGCGGGCAGCAGCTCCCTTCTGTATTCTTGTCTAACTCCCAGTTGCATTTCTGATCCCTTGAGCAGTCCTGTTACCTCAGCAGTTTGGATAGCACTTATCTGCTACCTTGACCTCTCCCCTGCATCTCTTCTGTGGCCTTTCACCTGAATTGAAGCACACCTCCACCAAGGCATTAAAGGCCGAGAGGCACGTCAGTTGTCTTGTGTTGTAGCTTCTCTCTGCCCCTCTGCCTTGTGAGAGTTGTATTCATGCAGGCCGATTCCTCACATGTATGTTTAAAGTACGACAAGAAAGGGCTAATTAGTCCCAAATAGCTTCCATGCAAAATACATTCCAAGCTTTGTGCCAACTAAGAATTTAAACAGGAATATTATTACGCCTTGACATTTCTGATTCTTTGGCCCAAGCCTCATGATATTAGTAGTTCACAATTAATTTCTGTAGTACAGTTCACTATTGGTCTTGTTTTTGGAGAAAATAATAGAGTTTTTCTGTCTTCTGTTTTCAATTACAGTACAGAGTCTTTTAGATTTCTGCCATCCAGTGACACAGATGTGTACAATTGTCTAAGTTACTTGAAGCATTAATTTTTTTTAATAAACCAAGAGCAGCTTAACCAAGTTCTAAAAGTTGCTCTCCTGCTTTATTTCCTGACTCTTAGGCCACATTCTTAAATGATGTTTGGTTCTGATTTATTTTGTATTTTTGTAGTGCAGTTTGCCATAATCCATTTGTGGTGCGTGATCAATTTCTTCCTGGCTGCATGTAGAAAAGCTTTCCATTTTTTCTTTTTCATTGTTTGTAGTCAGAGCATAGACTTGAATGATGGTTGCGTTAATAGGCTTTCTATGACGTCTGCTTCATATTATTCAGTCAGAATGGCTGCTAGGTGCTCGTTAAGTATGTCATTATTAATGCCACCTAATTTCTTCATTTCCGTTTTCAGAGCAAAACACTTTGTAATTATCTGACTTATAATGTCCTATTCTACTCCACCGTAGTTCACTCACCTCAAGTATTGCTGTGTTTAAACATTACACTTCTTGCTTTTTGATTCTGAGTTTACCTTTATTCACACTTCTCATATTTAATGTTCTGATGATATATGTGGTACACTATTGGACTTTCTTTTGCCTCTGTGTGCATCAGCAACTATACACTTTTTCATTTTTAATCTATTTCATTTGCAGTAACACTGTAAAAATTTATCCTTTGCTCCTTCCCCAATAGCTGATCGAGTGCCTTGTGATCTGCTTGTCTCATTTGCCAGCACTCTCTTGTTTTCTTTTGATCTATCTCATCATAGGATTTTCAAGATATAAAATAGTCAGAAATGGTCTACCATTGCCATTTTCTGCAGAATACTAACAAGAGTGAGCTTCAGTGTGTATAAAAAATCCTCTGCTAGTGTCATCTTCCACTACTGCTGTGTCTCAATACCTTCCCTTTATGAGTTTCTCCACCACTGGTACTTCTACTGATATGACCAACAACTGATGAAAGGGACAAGATGCACCTTAATCTGATATTTTAGCACTGACCATTCCACCTTTGGTGACTTACTTTATAATGGAATCTAGTATCTTGATGGTATTACTTGGAGCATCCTTGGCACACACCAACCTCTTCACGTTAAGACATACATCTAAGAAGGAAATGGAAACCAAATTGCATCCTTTAAGGGTCCTTCAGTGAGACCAAGACAGACTGTTAACATCATCAATATTCAACAGGAAGAACAGTCATTGGCGGATGAAGTAATAGATCTGAGACTCAAGAGATCAGGATCAGGCAGAACTGCCTGTCTCAGAATGTCATGTGTATGTAGATGTACCATTCTAGTCGGGCTCAATTATAGGGTTTAAGGTGACTGGAGCATATTTCCTGTTCTGAAGGCTTGCATGAGAAAATGCAACATCCTACTGCCGTGGTGTACGTCATGTGTTATTCCAACAGGCAGTCTTCAGAAGGGGGTCTCTGCTGCATTTTCTTTCCTACAGTAGTAGCTTTGCAACGTGGTGTTCTGAGCACTGTACTGGCAGGGTTTTTTTGTTTGTTTGTTTTTTGTTTTGTTTTTACTCACGACTCTCTAGTAATTCTGAAGACAAACTGGATTCAGTTTTGCTGTCTATTGTACTACTATTTCTTGTTGTCTCAGAGATCAGCTGGGGCTGAGTGGGGAGAGATGAGCATTTTGCCTCTTCCAGCAGGTTGTGTTGATGGATATCAGGATGGAGAAGACAGAACACCCTTTCATAGGGAAGGGGAAACTTCACAAAAGGGGTAAAGTGAGCAGTCTCAGTATTTGGGAGCGAACAGGTTATTTAAAGTAAGGGAACCCCAGGAATAAAGGGCAGTGCTGAAGTAAATAAATAAATATTTTTTAAAAGGTGCTGAAGCCTCGGTGGAGCATTTGTGACCTTTGCTTGGCCACAGCAGAATACACATTACTGGCTCTCTTGATAAGGGCTGGGAGGGGCTTAGCCGGGCTCTGGAGCCAGGACTTGGGGAATCTCTTCAAAAGCCAGTGGGCTAGGGAGGCAGTGGATCCCAAGTTCAGACCAGTTTAACCCAACCAGCCTGAGAAAATGTTCCGACTTTTCAGCCACACAAAGCATTGCTTTCAGGTGAAACAGGTGTTGCAGAGACCCCTTCGGCCCGTCCGTTTCCCAGCAGTTGTACAGCAAAACAGGTAAGTGGGGGTCGGGAGGATGAAGCAACACTGAGTAGTCTTGACTTCTGTCTCTCATAGTAGGACATGTTTTTTACACAAGCTTTTATATATGACTGCCTACTCGACAAGACAAGTACCCTTTAAGTATGATGAATACTGAAGTCAGATCAACAGAAAGTAGCATATTTCATTTTCTCTAGACTGACAAGCTTGAAAACAAAATATATCTTCTTAAAAAACTGTTTTGACAGCCACATCTGTTTCTTTCTGAAAACATCCCACCTTCCAACTTTGTTACACTGTATTCTTCATTCAGTTCTTCCACATCCTGTCTCCAGTGTGTGGAGTTTCATAGCTAGGGCCAGGTCAGTGCAAATGTGGGGCAAGGTTGATAATCTCAACTACATATTTCAGATGCTGTACACAGTATGAGTACTGATCCGCATGTCAGTTTAATCAACAGCAAGGAACAATGTCTTTCAAGTCTAGGCAGAGGCATGCAGACCATGGCACTTAGTTCTAGTGTCTTGGGATGCATGAAACCCTCACATGGCATGGATCTCACATTCTTCTGCTTTCCATAATATAATCCCACATAAGAAGAACCTTTAACCTACTTTTGGTCTTTTGCATCAAAAAAGATTAAGGAGTCCTATGGATTTAAAGACTAACAAATTTATTGTAGCATGAACCTTCAAGAACTATCTCTTGCTTTATCAGACTGCTGTCAGTTGTAAACATACCTGGAGGTGAGATTGTAGACAGTGAGTTTGGGGCAAATACATGCAGAAAGTATTGCCAGGGACAATTACATTAACAACACTGTCTGTTTGCAAATCTGTTATTGATAAAACAAATATTCTGGCAGCAGGACAGCAATTAACATGTATCAGATAAGAAACTGACACTGTCCCATTTTGAGCACATCATGAGATGTCTGGAAAAGACAATAATCCTGGGGAAGATTGAAGGCAGCAGGAAAAGAGGAAGTCCAAATATGAGATAAATTGACTCCATCAGGGAACCCACAGCTTAAAGTTTCCAGAAGCAGAGCAGAGCTGTTGAGGACAGGACATTTTGGAGATCACTCATTCATAAGTTTGCGATAAAGTCACAGGTAAATTGATGGCACATAACAACATTTTTTTTAAAAAAAACTCATTTTGATTCAAATACTGTATCTGAAACCAAACAAGAGGTTCCAAATGAATTGTAACTCCTCTCCTCTGCCCTTTATCTCCATCTGAATTTTCTTTGTTTCACAATGGTTTTTACATGTAGTACTCTTTCTGCCTCACCAAAGCAGCATTAAGGAATCAAATCTAAAATGATGCTTTCCTTCTCAGAGGTTTACATATCGAAATATTGTTGAAATACCACCTACAAGTTCATTTTGTAGGCAAGACCCAGAAGTAAGAGAAAAACAACTTGCTATTTCTGCTCATCTTTGGCAACGTATAAGAAAAAATATATATTTCAGGGCAGTTTTTTCTATATGCATCAAAAATACAATATCCAAGTTGGTTTTAGAAGAGGCTCTGGTGGATATGGAAACTATTGAGCAAATAGAATCATAATCCCAAGTGGAGATAGTACAGTCAGAACTCAAAAAGATATTTCATTCACAAATTCTACGGAAAACAGTCATGCCAGTCCAAATTACCAAAAATCGGTTTCAGGTAATAAAAACAATTTCCTATGAAAACAGACAGAGAGGATCCAGAGGAGGGACTTTGTAAACAGCAACAATATAAATCGACTTGGGGAGAATTGCCCTTTGACCCCGATACCTTGTCCTGTCTAAGCAAACTTGATTTTACATTAAACGTAATTAAATACCTTTGTATTAAACATTAACCTCTTGTTAACAATCTGTGAACCAATGTGGAATTTATATATGGGAAGACCTTCATTTTAGGATTGGATGTACAACAGAAGGCAGTCCAATAAGGAGCCGGGCCAGCCGGATTTTTTATCAAGGCACCTAATTTTAAGACATTGATATTTCACATCTGTGTTCTCTCTTGTTTGTGCAAAGCCAATATATCAGTGTTGGGATAAGGTGAACTCTGATGCTTTAAAAAAAAAACAAAAACAAAAAACTGGGTCAGCTAGGGAGAAAGATTTAAAAAAAACACACACACACACACAAAACTGGGTCAGCTAGGGAGAAAGATCACAGGGGTGGATGTTCCTGCTGTCAAAAACATCACTCTCAGCTTAGTACATCAACAGAATACTATCCACATTCATGCCCCTCCCCCATCCTTTTGGAGAATGAAGCAATTCATCACATGGAGAGAAAAAAAAATCAGCTTGAAAAAAGTAGACACTGCCAGTGGCAGGGGGACCCAGTTCAGAAGCAAAAATGGCCATGCTAACTCACATTGGCTTTTGTGTCATGTCATAAGCAAAATAAAGCTGAATGAATCCATTTTACTTCTGCAACGAATCTTGTACTATTTATTCATGTAGTCACAACTTCAGTTTTACTTCTCCATCTCTAAAATGGAAATATCCTTCATGAGGCAATTGATGGGGGGGGAAAAACTTGGTATCGTAAATCATTGTATGCAGACAAATAAGAAGTAGAGTAGAACTAGTTCTTAATCAGTCATACTCTATTTTAAGTCAAAATGGAGTGATACTCTTCCACTACGATAGAGCAGGCCGGACAAATGGTCCTACTGAGCACCTTATTTCTAATACCTGAAGGAAGAAAAATGCCCTGTACTTACTAAAGGCACATTTCTGAGACAAGTGAGATCCTTTGCCAGAGCCTCAACTTAGTCTATTTTGCAAGAACAACTCAAAGGTTAAGAAATATTTGCATTCCTTCATTTCAGAGGATACAAAATATATGGGCAATACTGCTCTTGTTTGTTTGTTTCTTCTGTCCAGAACCCCCTGTGAAGATCCCAGGTATAAATGGAAACTATTACAATACCCAGTAGAGCCTGATTCGAATGTTTGTGGCCCCTTCCCACTTCATGTTACAGTATATTGAAATACCACAACTTGAATAACCAGCCATTTTTCTCTCCCTTTTGCTTTATTTACTATCTTGCCCAATGAGGATTTTTGAAGAACTTGAAAACTTGCCGCCACCCCTTTTTGTTTTTAGTTGAGTTAGCCTCAAAAGCTCTTGAGATGGATTTTAGCATTTTTCTTTAGGACGACATGACTCTGTATATATGCTTTGAAAAGCTCTGTATCCAGTCACTCTTATACCCAAGATTCTCTTCTTGTGTGAACTGTGAGGAAGCTTATTCTCCCTCCTTGTTTTGCAGTTTCTCCACAGATTCAGTGCATCACCAGACCCAGACATGGCCCAAGGATGTGGGTATACTTGCTCTTGAGGTATATTTCCCTTTCCAGTATGTAGACCAAGTTGAGCTGGAGAAATATGATGGTGTAGAGGCAGGGAAATACACGCTGGGACTAGGCCAGAAGCAGATGGGCTTTTGTGCTGCCCATGAAGACATCAATTCCTTGTGCCTGACGGTGGTACAAAGGCTGGTAGAGAGAAGCCAACTGTCTTGGGACTCTATTGGCCGTCTGGAGGTTGGCACAGAGACCATAATTGACAAATCCAAAGCTGTCAAGACCGTTTTGATGCAGCTCTTTGAGGAGTCGGGGAATACAGATGTTGAGGGCATTGATACAACCAACGCTTGCTATGGAGGCACAGCCTCCCTCTTCAATGCCGCTGACTGGGTGGAGTCCAGCTCCTGGGACGGTAAGTGAGACCAGACTCAGCCTGGCCAGGGTGTTTCCATAGCACAATCCCTGTGTTTTAGACATGTCATGATTCTCTGCACTCCGCATAGCAAGCCAGAATCCAAAATAATACCAGTAGAAATAAAAAACTACAAAGGGGGACTGCTCAGCAGCCCAAATGTCCAAACAATAACATTGGCTTCTCTTTCCAGAAAAGAGGTGGCCTTGGCCATTGATCTCACAAAATCCCCAGCTTCTGGGTAAAGAGGGAGGGAATTGTTCCTGTCATAGCAATCAGTCATGGAATGGCAGCCTTCAATTTGTGTGTGTGTGTGTGTGTGTGTGTGTGTGTGTGTGCGCGTGTGCTATCCCATCTGAAGAGCTTTGTGTACACTAGTGAGATAAGTTTCACGTTGGAATGATAGCGGCAACATGTTTATACCAAGTGGCAAAGCTGAGTGATCGAATTGTTCATCTGAGACATACTCCAGAGTTACTTCCTTTGGGATTTTCAGACATCAGTGATATGAGGGGAAGGTTTTGCTATAGTGTCCAGGCCTGCTCAATATACTATTATCCCTTCTGCTAGGGATTCCTTGTAAAGAAGCCATGCTGCCTAAAGGGCGTATTTCCTTGAAGATTTACTCCCCAATCAATGCTGAATATATATATGTTAAAGGGTTTGCCCTTCCAGGTCTTAAAAGTCTAGCCACCACCTTTGACATAGTTTAGGAGCTGTACCACCAGGTAGAGTGCCAGAAGCTGTCTGCCTCTGGCACATCATGTACAAGCAATGGGAGGGAAATGAGGAAGATATAGTGTAATTGGCTCCGGCAGAACAAAATGTTCCAGCAGCCTAAGTAGCTTTCATAGGCATGCACAAAAGAGACAAAATTACTGTCTTCTCCTGAAATGCTTGAAGTTCTATGGGTTGCACTCTGGCTAGCAACCACATGATTTGTTGCTATACCATTCACCATATAGGCTCTTGTTTTAAAAAGAAGGACGTAAAGCTCCACATGACACTGACTCATATGACTCACTGAGTTCTTTTATTTCCACCCCTGGGTTTCTTTCCCCCATCCTACACTCAGATTTTTAAATGGGAAGGGAGACATCAGTTTGCTTTGAAGTATTGGCATGTTTGCAGTGCTCACTCTGAACAGAGGCTGAGCACATCCAAACGGCACTCTGCCTAGCCATCATGTTATCCTTGCCTCTCCCTTTTCCTTGGGAGAAGGATCCACCTTTATTGTCTATGTTTGCATAGCTTTGTAAATTGCAGTTTAGACAGACAGTTAAATAGTACTGCTAATTAACTGTTGCTGAACTGCAATTTATATCTACAAATGAACTTCAATATATTTTAATCATGAAAATCAGTAAGGGTTTGTCTGTTTTTCCAGTGATAATGTTCTTCCCATGCTAGGACGCTATGCCTTGGTGGTTTGTGGTGACATTGCGGTCTATGCCACTGGGAATGCACGGCCAACAGGAGGAGCAGGTGCTGTCGCTATGCTGGTTGGACCAGATGCTCCTCTGGCTTTAGAGCGAGGTCAGTATCATAATTTTGCCTTGTCTGGAGACAAACACTGTATATGAGGCTAGGGGGTTTCAGCTATGAAAAAATCATTGGACATTACACACTTTATCACCAGCTGAAGCAGGTGGAATAGCAGCACGGGGAGGCTTTCCAGAAAGTAATGCTCTAAAATGGAATGCAGGGAATTAGTTTGCCATAGTACTACTGCTGCAGCCATGTAAATACTGGAAATTAAAATGTATTTTATCTCTTAAATTGATTCTGTTCATATCCCATATTTTCCCCAAGTATGCAACTCACTATTCAAAAGCCCACTGTTGTCACAGGTCAACTACAGATCATTATGAAACAAACCCGTGGGTATACTCTGCAGCAAATGTAAACACAGTTGGCAGACAAAGAAGAATATTGGGCTTCTATAGCATTCACATTAGATGTGCATGAATTAGTACATTGAGCTTTGCTGGATTGGAGATTCATAGAAGTCTTGCTGGTGAGAAAACAGATCTGTGTTGGTAAAACATACCAATTTCTCTCACACAGATTTCAGGGATGTGGAAGTCTTAAAGTACAGGAGAGCTGCTTTTCCATTTTAGGCAGAGAGTGGCAATCTAGTCATTAGAAAGAATTAGTCCCTTATTTCTGAGATATTAGCATGCTCAGGATGTTCTCAGGGTAACTGCTTTTCTTTTACAACCAGCCCTACCCTGCCTTAATTCTTCTTCCAAATGAGTGTAGAAAGAGCTGTGTTTGGGTGTAACTACATTAGAGAGCTGAATCAGAATAATTTGCTCTGATTTGGCTTGGGTTCCATTTGATTTGAAGCCTGTGTTACGTTTCCTTTTGTGGTCAGTGTTTGCACAGGGGCTGGAGAATGTTTCAGGTTCACTGTTTGCACTGGATGCAATGCTTGAACAGAGAGAGCTTCGGGGCAGGAGAACCTGGGCAACAGGAAATGTTGATCCAGGTCTGTGTTTTCAGGGGAAAGGCACAGTTAGCCCCATTTAGAATTATGGTAAAGGCTTGGTTTCCTACCAGAAAATGTGCACTAAAATTTGTAACTAATGGGGAAAGTGGCAAAAAAAACCACCTTGCACGAAGGAGGAGGGATGTACAAGGCAGAGAATCTGTGCAAAAGCCCCATTAAGCGAAGCAGAAAAAGGTCCAGCTTCGTGGAGAGAGGGAGCAGTGGGCAGAGCAAGGCAGAACGAACAGATTACAGGGAAGGAGGTCCTGGCACTGGGCACAGACAGGACAAGGTTGGCAACATGCATTGGCACTACAGATGTACGGCAGCAGGAGGAAGAGGAGGAGGAAATACAGCTGCTTGATTTCCTTTTGGTATGGGACGATTGATACTTTCCATCTTCCATTCAGGATAATCACCGGCTGGGCACTGGTGGCAGTAGGACGACAAAGCTTAGCAAAGTGCCAAGAGTCAGGCTCTGTAGTAACTGGGCGATTGTTCACCATCACCACACACAAGGTGGTTAGAGCTAAAAGGCTGCCCACCCACCTGGGAGAATAGATCTACAGGGCTCGCTCTCCTGGTCACTGCCTGTTCCTGGCACATGGGCCTCTCTCTGGGGACGGAGAAAGGCAGGCACTGTTAGGCCGAAGAACAAAGGGCCCCCTTGTGCAAGTCCCAGGAAGGATGAGGAGAAGGGGGAGGGTGAAGGGAGGGAAAGAAGCAGGCAAGCAGAAATGTGAAGCTTCAGTTCCCACATCAGTAAAAAGAGAGAGAGAGAGACAGACAGAGAGACAGAGACAGAGACAGAGAGAGGTCCCTGGGGAAAAGACAGACAGACAGAGACAGAGACAGAGAGAAGTCCCTGGGGAAATTCAGGCAGTCTAGAGGAAGGTCTACTGAGTTGGGTCAGTGTAAGCAGAAAAAGGATGAAGAGCAGCAGTTCTTTGGCTTACTCTCCTTCCTGGTCAGGTCCAGAACTACGCCTTGAATGGTCGCAATGACCAGATAGGCGGGATATAAATAAATAAATAAATAAATAAATAAATAAATAAATAAATAAATAAATAAATAAATAAATAAATAAATAATGTTACAATGACAAACTTTTTTCCTTTCCCTCCTCCATGGGGCCTGTTTACGTTAAAGCAATCCTTTGGAAAACCTGTAAATTGAAATTGACTGCGAGTCACGGGACGCCACGTGGTGCTTCGATCGCAGTTTGCGCGCCCAAAAAAAGGGGAGGCAAGGGCTGACCAGAGAGGCTGCTTGCCGGGAAGGGAAACAGAAATGCACGCACAGCCTGGTGAATGAGGAGGCGGGGGCTGGAAGGGACCCAAGGAGAGGTGCTTGCCCAGGAGGGAAATAACCCTGCAGCAGGAGGGAAGGAAGGCCTGGCGGCATCCTCCGCTCCCGGCGCTCCTCCCGCCCTCCTTACTTCTCGCAGCGGCGGCTCTGGCTCTTTTTGCTGCTGCCGCCGCCTCTCCCACCGTCTCCGCTTGTTACCTAAAGGCACAAATTTGCAGCGATAGAGGGGTTTACATATGCGGAAATTGTTGAAATAAACCAGGGTTTCATATGGCTACTAAAATAAACGACCCTCTGGCGGAAGAGTATTTTACGCCACTTGCCAGCCAGAATACTGTACATGCCGCCTTGGCAAAATAAACCATGCTTCCTTTAACATCGTAGATGCCTTATTTTAAAACATTTTTATAAAAAACAGAGCCCTATTTAATAGCGCTTCTTATTGTCTGTGAGACCAGGCCCAATTTAACGCTCACCTTATTCCACTTATTTCACACTGAAACACGTCCCCTCTCCCTCTGCCTGCCCTAGAATCTTGCCACCTGGATTGCTCCATTCCTTACCATTCTCTGGCTCTCACTGAAGCCCCTGGTGGGCATCAGAATGTCAGAAATCAAGATATTTGCACCTAAAGAAAGAGTTCCTCTCTCTCTCTCTCTCTCTCTCTCTCTCTCTCTCTGAGGAAACAGTGGTGGTTTTTTTTACTATAGTTTGGGAGATTCATCAGCCTCAGAACCTAAAGATAACGTCAGCCAGTATTTTACTGATAACATTTTCTCTGATTATCTCTGGGTATGATACGTTTCTACTGGACCACAGATAGTAAAATGATGACTAGGTTTACTGAATGGTGAATTCCCTTTTCCACTGTTGTTAGTACTTACTGGAACATCCATGGCTCATTTTCCCTCCCAAGGTGTCCGTGGGACTCATATGGAACATGTCTATGACTTCTACAAACCAGACTTGGCTTCAGAGTATCCTGTGGTAGATGGACAGCTCTCCATTCAGTGCTATTTCCGTGCTCTGGATCGCTGCTATGCCACGTACCGCAAGAAGATTGAAAGCCAGTGGCAGAAAGGTCTGTGCTGCTAGAAGAAGTGGCGACTTTTCGCTTTTGGTCTTTTCACTACCTGGCCTCTCTCTCTCCACTTCTATGAAGATGTCAGAAGGTCTATCGCTGTCCAGCTGTGTAAGACTCTGTTGAGGATTAAGTAGGATGAGAGGAAGAGTCACTGAAAAGAAAAAAACAATGTAAAAATCAGAAGGAGTGTCCTTTATAACCCACATTCATACTGAAGGGAATGATCACATTAGTGAAACTAGCTTGTGTGCTATCTGGCAGCAAAACAAACAAACAAAAACACCGCTGGATTTGCACCTCAGCTCTGCAGTGGATTCCTCGAATGCAAATATCACATAATTAGGATGAATTATGATTCCTCAATTCCTCCCAAGCCTCAAAAACTGTGGCTTACTCCCAGCTGCTTGGGGAAGGTCTTGTCCTCAGAAGAAGAGAGGGGTTATGTTGGCTGGTGATTTGTAGTTATGCTGTAGGCCTCCATTTTGCCCACAGCCATGTCCATGTTCATTGAACTGCAAGGGTAGCTGTGAGCTATGCCATCACCACTCTTCTTTCATGTCACTATCCCAGTCTAACTTTATAAGAAATACAGTATTGTACACCAAAGCAATGAGGATAGAGAAAACAGACACCAAGTGTGTGTCTCTCCACTTACACTGTAATTGCTGGTGATTTCTATTTCCCTTAACTTTTCAAATCTTTTTCCTTGGAGGCAGCTGGGATAAACAAGCATTGCACTCTTGAAGACTTCCAGTTCATGATCTTCCACACACCATTTTGTAAACTGGTGCAGAAGTCCGTGGCACGGTTGCTGCTGAATGATTTCCTTGCATCTTCCAGTGCCAACACGGAAAGTGGAATCTACAAGGGACTGAAGGAATTCAGGTTAGTGGATCCCTCCTCTAGGAACACCTGCAGGGGCAATGGGGAATGATGAGTGATGTTCACAGCTTTTAGCAGGAAGTCCATTCTCCTTCTACCTGGCTACAGCTAGAGATAGTGCAGCATTGGGACTTGGGCTGGATCCCTACCGCTAGTTGAATGTTCCTTCATAATAAAATTGGAGGAACTGCCAGAACTTTCCAAAGAACCCAATCACAAAGGCATTCAAAAGAAAATCAGACAACCATCAGTCAGATATAGTTTGATTTGGATTCCTGTATTAAACAGCAAATTTTTATTGCTTTAGAGGCCCCTTCCAGTACTGTATCATTATACTATGAGTCCATGAACTTAGTTGAACATGTCACCTTTATGAAGAAAAATAGCACTTTAGGCATTTTAATTCATTTAGATAACTATATGCAACTGTGTACACAAAGACAAACACTCATGTCCAAATACCCAGGTACACCAATAAACACACACACACATGTATATACATATATCCATATACATATATACATACTGTACATATATATATGCCAGCCCACCTCATGTTTGGACTAGAACTAAATGTTCTTTTTCCCTCTAGCAATGTGAAGCTGGAAGAGACCTACTCCAACAAAGAGGTGGACAAAGCATTTCAGAAGGCAAGCCAGGAGCTGTTCAAACAGAAAACCCAGCCATCCTTATTCCTCTCTGCACGCAATGGAAACATGTACACACCATCAGTATATGGTTGCCTTGCATCTCTCCTGGGACAGTAAGTTGCACATGTTCTCTCCTTCAGTGATTTTGGTTTGTATCCTTTGCATCTGCCACCTTTTGGACAGTCCTTGCTATCTCTAGAGCTCTCATCTAACACCATGTTTTGACTGAACCTTTCTTTTCCTTGTCAGTCTTCTTCATTGCCCAATTTTCACAACTAGACATACTAACTGGGAATACCCAAAGTATGGATGACGTCAGCCTTTGTTCCCAGTGACACGTCCTTCTACTTAAGGATCTTTTCTAGTCATTTCACAGCTGTTCTTACATGTCTTTGTTTTTTTTCCTGATTTCTTGGCTGCACCTGCCATTGTGACTGAAGACTGAACCAAGGCATGGAAAATCCTTAACAATTTCTTCATTGTTATCATTAATGTTACCTGATTCTTTTGAAGTCATGATTTTTATCTTTTTCAGATGTAATCTGCTTTATTTCTTATTTATTACTTCTTCCACCATAATAGTAATTTAAAGCCATTTCTATTTTGTGCCAGTATTCTGATTTTTATTTTTATTTTTTGGGGTGCATTCTTCATTTATCTACAATATGATCTCTCATACTCCTTCCCTTCTGAATCTAGCTTGAACATCTAGCGTTTCATGCTCCATGTGTAGTTAAAAAAAAGTCTTTGCTTTAAAGTCTGGTCATCACTTTGCTTGCATGGGAAAGGCACTCTTTGGCATCCCCTTTACTTGGAATCGGAATGTATATTGAATGATTCCAGACTGTGAGCCATTGGGGTTCCCTCCCCTTATTTGCTGCCATATTCTTATTAGGATATAGTTAGATTCAGCCTGGATTAATTCTTTTCATATTCCATCTAGGAAAATTGGGGGCTCAGGGGGGAAAATATGGCTTTTTTTTCCCTTTCAGAAAAGACTTGCAATGGGGTTTCTGATATCTTACAGGTACTCTGCCCAACAGCTGGCCGGCAGTAGAATCGGAGTTTTCTCTTATGGCTCAGGACTAGCAGCCAGCATGTTTTCCCTGAAAGCATCCCAGAATTGTGCTCCAGGTGTGTTCCATGTTTATGCGAAACTCCCCTTTCTTCTCTTTCCAAATATTTTGCCCTGTGAGAATGTCCTGAAATATTTGAGCTTTGTTTTGTTTGCCACACTGCTTGTACATCCAGTCGGACGTGGTGGCGCTGTGGGCTAAACTGCAGAAGCCTGTGCTGCAGGGTCAGAAGACCAGCAGTCGTAAGATCGAATCCACGCAACGGAGTGAGCTCCCGTCACTTGTCCCAGCTCCCGCCAACCTAGCGGTTGGCAAGCATGCAAATGCAAGTAGATCAATAGGGACCACCTCGGTGGGAAGGTAACAGCATTCCGTGTCTAAGTCGCACTAGCCATGTGACCATGGAAAGATTGTCTTCGGACAAAACGCTAGGCTCTATGGCTTGGAAACGGGGATGAGCACCACCCCCTAGAGTTGAACACGACTGGACAAAAATTGTCAAGGGGAACCTTTACCTTTACCTTGTACATCCATTAAATTTTAGAACTGATAAGGCAATGGCTTGAAAAGTTCTGCTCAAGATGCTTCTAAAGATGTCACATACGCTTTTAAAAGTAAGACAAAACACCTCAAAAGTAAGATCAACCCACATACTGCATTACTTTTCATTGTGCTCTCATCACCCCTCAAATAATGAGTTACAGTTAAGGATGTTATATGTGACACATTGCTTTGAGAACATAAGATAAAAACATAAGAAAAGCGCCACTGAATCAGGCCAAGGGCCCCATCTAGTCCAGCTTCCTGTATCTCACAGTGGCCCCACCAGGTGCCTCTGGGAGCCCAAGAGACCACTAGAGGCCTACTTGTCTCGTGGCAACTCTGGGAAGAGGATCAATGCCATGTATCAATGTTCTCGTCTGCTTCTCCTGATGGAACAAGGACTCTGACCAGCTTAGATCCCTCAGTTCCCTCTGCTGAGCAGGATTGTCTTTAGATGCTTTAGGCTGATGTCCTTTACAGCAGTGACCCCCAACCTTGGGCCTCCAGATGTTCTTGGACTACAGCTCCCAGAACCCTTCACCACCACCTCTGCTGACCAGGATTTCTGGGAGTTGAAGTCTAAGAACATCTGGAGGCCCAAGGTTGGGGACCACTGCTTTACAGGGTTGTTGTCAGGCTCGAGTGGGACATGCCCAAATGTGCCCCTCAGCCCTATTTTTGTGGCAGTTGGATTCTCCGGGATCACTACTACCCCCCACCCCCCACGGAAAAAGAAGAATTCTACAAATGAAAGGAGAATTGCAACTCCTGAAAATCTCCAGATATGATAGTTTATTTTAAATATAAACTTTTAAAAGTAACACAAAACACCTCAAAAGTAAGATCAACCCACATACTGCATTACTTTTCAAATGTAACATCATTGTGCTCTCATCACCCCTCAAATAACGAGTTACCGTTTTTTTGCTCCCAAAGGTATTTTTAATGTGAATTGGGGAACGTACTTCTGTTAATGTAGCCTAAAACAGCACTCACCTTTTTTGCAGCTGCCTCATACTGTTGGCTCATATTCAGCTTGTGATCGACAACAATTCCAAGATCCTTCTCACATGTAGTGTTGCTGAGTCACATACCCCCATCTTGTAACTCTGTGTTTGATTTCTTTTTCCTAGGTGTAGAACTTTGTACATATCCCTGTAAAATTTCATTCCGTTGTTTTCAAAGACTGTTAGGATGCACTACATTGGCACAGTCCAAGACTGGCTGCTGGTCTCCCCCATGGAATATCTGGTTGGTGGGAACCAACCAGGACAAAGTTTGGGGAACCAGAACAAACAGTTTCCAAGCCTAGACCATCTGGTCTCATTGCAATATGGAGAAAAATCTGTTTGCAACCCCTCTGAATGGGGAATTGAGAGGGCGTTATCAAGTACAGTCGTGCCCCGCTTAATGATTACCCCGTATAACGACGAATCCTCTTCACGACAATGTTTTTGCGATCGCAAAACAATGTTTTAATGGTTTTTTTCCGTTTTGCGATGATCGGTTCCCTGCTTCGGGAAGCGATTCTTCACATTGCTCCCTGCTTCGGGAAGCGATTCTTCGCATTGCCGACGATCAAAACAGCTGATCATTGGGTTTTCAAAATGGCCGCCGGCTGCTCAAAATGGCTCCCCACTGTTTTTAGGAGGCGTTTTTCGCAAGACAGACACCCTCAAAGGGCTGCTGTATGGAGGATCTTCACTGGACGATTAGGTATTTCGCCCATTGGAACGCATTAACCGGTTTTTAACGCATTTCAATGGGTTTTTTTATTTTGTTTGACAACGTTTTCACTCTACAGCGATCTCTTAATGTCATCAAGCGAGGCACCACTGTATATTTCATAGTCTGAGGTTTCACTTTTGTTTGAGCATCTGAGTAGAAAGGGAGATAAAGGTAGGCATCTGAAGGGCCCAGGCCTAAGCTCACTGGCCAAATGGTTTGAGGAATGTTTTCCTTGCTCCAATGAAGACCAGAGTTGCTGTGACCTCTGGGAAGAGTTCTCACTCCAAGGTATGGTATCTTCTCTCTCTTCCAGGTTCCCCTCTGGAAAAATTGGTATCTAGTCTTTCAGACTTGCAGGCCCGCTTGGAGTCTCGGAAATGCATTGCTCCAGAGAAGTTTGCTGAGATCATGAAAATCAGAGAGGACACTCATCATTTGGGTGAGAGCAAGAGCAAATATGGAGTAGCCACAACTTTGTCTTGGGAATACGGCAGCGCTGCCCAGTCTCCCAAGTGGTCCAAAGAATGCCCACGAGGAAAGGAACACCACAGGCAGCAAAAATATGCAGCTTTCCTAGGAAAGTTCTCCAAGCATGAACATGCAGGAATGTGGTTTCTAGCTTATGGATGTCACCTGTGAATGCTGATACAATCTGCATTTCTAATGTGAACAGTTTAAAAGTGTGTTGACTGGTGTGTGTTTCCCTGTAGCAGAAACACATTAAATCAGATTCTACTTCTGGGCTGGATAACACAATTCTAAAGCAAAGGGAAAAACAGGTACTGTTTATATAGCACCCCATTCTCTGGGCAGTTTGCAATTCAATTACGCAGGCTACATGTTGTCCCTCCAGTGAGCTGGGTACTTAATTTACTCATCTCAGAAGGATGGAAGTCTGAGTCTACCTTGAGCTGGCTACCTGAGCCCATCATGAACGAACTCATGTCATGAGCAGAGTTTTGACTGCAGGACTGCAATTTTACCACTGCTCCACAAGGCTCTTTCCTCCCTGTAAGACGTTCACTTGAGCTGAAGGGCTTTCCTCTATCTACAAAGTATGTAAATACCTCTTTTGCATGACTTTTTGCAGTTGCCCAAAGAGTCCACCCTGATTGGCAAATTGGAGGCAATGCCCATCAAGGGAGATAACAATGCTGACACAAAGTGCTCTTTTTCCATGCCATTGGTTTTGTTGTAAGTTGCAGAAATAGAAAGGGCCATACTCTACGATGAACTTTGCCCTGGCTTAGCCATTTGGTCCTACTATTGCTAAACTTTGTGAAAAGACACATTTCATTCGGCAGCTTTACAAAGTAAAGAGATGACATTTGGCTCCTTTTCCTGAGACATCATGGCGTTCTTTCGTGTTGAAGGTTGTCTTTGTTTTTTAAGTGCCTGCGACAAAGTTTTGTGTTCTTGCTCTTGAAATCCTAAACTATATCCCATCAGCAAATGCACACACCAAAAGGAAGAGTGAGTGGCCATTGGTTTTGAGCGTTATTGTGGCTGATGACCCTCTCAACATAATCTCACCTCATTTTTACAACCTTTGACCTTTCTTGCTGCAGTGGATCATACTCCCCATGGCTCCAAGGATGACCTCTTCCCAGGAACTTGGTACTTGGAGCGAGTGGATGACAAGAACCGCCGGAAGTATGCAAGGAAACCCATCTAGGAGAGGAAAAAAAAAACATTATCAGGGCTTTCCTGGTAAGTCAAAATCCCAGTTCTGAGAAGCAGACACTTAAGAGAAGGGTGCACGGGGTGCTTCCATGGCCACATGGGGAAGAAAGGGAAGACAGGAGAGCTTTTGCAAAGTGAAGCGAAGGACCTCCTGGATGACGTGTCTTTGTCTTGAGATAAGCTTCTCCAGTATGCCTCAGAAGCAGGCCCCATCTAGCAATTCCTTCACTATGGAGAACCATTCAGTAAATCAGACTCATTTCTATTCCCCCTTAGAGTCTTGCCGATATATGGAGAGAGCCTGAGGTGACAACTAACATAACACAGCAAAGCAGCGCTTGGGTCCTGCACTTCTGAAGATGCCTACCGGGTTCCCAACATTCAGCACCATTTTGTATCTGCATTTTCTAACATGAAGCTCTTTTATGTCTAGCTTTCCATCTTTGGGCTTATGTGACGAATGGATTTGCATCTTCTGCCTGCTGTGACTGTTGGGTGTCCACAGTTTGCTTTACTGGTGGCACCTGCTTCTTCCCTTAGCATCTTTTCACTCTGTACTCTTCACTGGTTTACTTGAGTGTAACAGTATTTTTGTTTGGCTGGCAACAAGATGTAACCTGAAGAGTTGACAGCTCCTGGCAAGGGAGAACCTGCAGCTGCAGAACCCTTGAAAATGCCCTACAGCTCGTCGTTCCTTGTTCAGCTCAATTCTCAAAATATTGTTCCCCGACCTAGTTCTAAACAACATTTGATTTTTGTACAGTTTGGATGTTTGTTGCAATTTATGAATAATCCCCAACTAGCCTAGAAATATAGCTGAAGGGCTGTATAAAAATAAGTATAACAAATAAAGGAATAAAACAAAACTCTCCCTCATAGAGCCATAGTGCTCAGTGATACCTTAACATGTTTGATAAATTAAAAAAAAGAGCAGGACAAGAGACAAAGAGTGATATGAGAAGGAAACACTTCAAGGTCAGGAGGAGTGAATCTGCCTATAGCTTAAACATTTCATGAGATATTCTAGTGCTGAGGTTCTGCCAATTGAAGCTAAAACTGCAGACTGGCTGAGCATATTGGTCAAGGTCAACAGCTACAGAACAGTTTCCCAGGGAGGAAGAAGCTTCTCATCTGACAGTGCAGAGTCCCACACGGCTAGCTTTGGGTAGGAAATATCACTTTTCCCAGAGGAATGTTTTATTCCAGGGAAAGTGTGGATGCTCAAAATCTTTTTAATGAGGAGAATCCAGAGGCTTGGGTAAGTTAGGGAGGCAGCTCCCCAGACATTTCCATCCTACCTCACTCTTTGGAACTCATACTGAATGCCACAGAAGATCCAAAATAGCTGGAAATGGAAGCTTCAGCCTCTCAGAAAAGTTATATTTGTAGTCATTAAGTATGGTGGTAACAGCTTTGCTACAGTATATCACAGAAGTGAGTACACCCCCTCACATTTCATAAATATTTTAGTATATCTTTTCATGTGACAACACTGAGGAAATGACACTTGGCTACAATGTAAAACAGTGAGTAGACAGCTTGTATAAGAGTGTAAATGTTCTGTCCCTCAAAATATTGCAACACACAGCCATTAATGTCTAAACCGCTGACAACAAAAGTGAGTACACTCCTAAGTGACAATGTCCAAATTGGGCACAAAGTGTCAATATTTTGTGTGGGCACCATTATTTTCCAGCCCTGCCTTAACCCTCTTGGGCATAGAGTTCACCAGAGCTTCACAGGTTGCCACTGGAGTTCTCTTCCACTCCTCCATGACGACATCACAGAGCTGGTGGATGTTAGAGACCTTGGTCACTTCCATCTTCCATTTCAGGATGCCCCACAGATGCTCAATAGGGTTTAAGTGTGGAGACATGCTTGGCCAGTCCATCACCTTTACTCTCAGCTTCTTTAGCAAGGCAGTGGTCATTTTGGAGGTGTGTTTGGGGTTGTTATCATGTTGGAATATTGCCCTGTGGCTCAGTCTCCAAAGGGGAGATCATGCTCTGCTTCAGTATGTCACAATACATGTTGGCGTTCATGGTTCCCTCAATGAACTGTAGCTCCCCAGTGCCCACAGCACTCATGCAGCCCCAGACCATGACACTCCCGCCACCATGCTTGACTGTAGGCACGACACACTTGTCTTTGTACTCCTCACCTGGCTGCTGCCACACACACTTGACACCATCTGGACCAAATAAGTTGATCTTGGTCTCACCAGACCACAGGATATGGTTCCAAAAATGTACATCCTTAGTCTGCTTGTTTGCAACAAACTGTATGTCTGCTTGTCAGCAACAAATTCCTCCATGCCTGGGATTCCCCCTTCCACCACCACTTCTGGTTCCGCACTGGGGTGTTTTTTTTTCCTTTCAGTTTGGACACGCAGGCCCAAAAAGGTTTGCCACCACTAGCCTAGACCATCTTTATGTAGAGCAACAATTCATTTTTTCAGATCCTCAGATAGTTCATTACCATGAGGCGCCATGTGGAACTTGCAGTGACCAGTCAGAGAGTGAGTGTGATAACACCTGCTCCCCCTTCACACCTGAGACTTGTGACACTAACGGGTCTCAGGACACCAGGGAGGGAATACGGCTACTTATACAAGCTGTCTACTCACTGCTTTACATTGTAGTCAAGTATCATTTCTTCAGTGTTGTCGCATGAAAAGATATACAGTGGCGCCCCACATAGTGACGATAATCTGTGCAGCAAAAATCGCTGCAAAGCTATTTCGTCACTATGTGAAAATAAAAAGCCCATAGGAACGCATTAAAACCTGTTTAATGCGTTCCTATGGGCAAAAAACTCACCTTTAAGCGAAAATCCTCCATACGGCCACCATTTTCGCAGCCCGGTAAGCGAGGAATCTGCGCGAAAACACAGTGAGCGGCCATTTTTTTACCCGGTGGCTATTTTGGATCCGCCGATCAGCTGTTGGATAATCATCGCTATGTGAAAATTGGTAAGCAAAACATTTACCATTTAAAACATCGCAATGCGATCGCTTCTGCGATCGCAAAATCTTCATCGCTATGTGGATTCATTGTTAAACGGGGAGCCCGTTAAGCGAGGCACCACTGTACTAAAATATGTATGAAATGTGAGGGGGTGTATTCACTGTTGTCATATACTGTATATCTATGTCTCTGTAAGGAGCCCCACAAATCCACGGCACAGCTACACCATTGTTCAAGCATTCTCTAAAAATAGGCTAGATGTGTGTCTCACAAATGAGAAAGCAGACAAGAGAATCAGGCAGAGGGCTCCACCTCTTCACCACCTACCCTTGCTTAATACTGATTGGGTACAGATGAAGGGACAGACCTTCTCCAAAAACTGAAAAATAAAGAATCCAGGTAGGAGTTCAGGGAGAGGGCACACAAGTGGCAAATGAAGAGGCTGGAGAACAAGTGAGAAAACATGGCAAGTTTAGCAAACTGAGAGAAATGGTATCTGCCAGCACTATTCTGTAACATTCCATTGCCTATATCTGGAATAACTTTTAGTTTTAGGTAAGCAGCTCTAGCTTGGCATACAACATTACAGTGGTGCCTCGCATAACAAGGATAATCTGTACCAGCGAAATCGCTGTAGAGCAAAATCCTCGTTAAGGGAAATAAAAAATCCCATTGAAACGCATTGAAAACCCATTCAGTGTGTTCCAATGGGCTGAATAACTCACCGTCCAGTGAAGATCCTCCATAGGGGTGGCCATTTTTGGTGTCTGTAAAGCAAGGAATCTGTCCATTTTACACAGTGGGCGGCCATTCTGAAGTTGCCAATCAGCTGTTTTAAAAATGTTGTCTAGCGAAGAATCGGTTCCCGAAGCAGGGAACCGATAGTCGGGAAGTAAATTTTGCCTATTAAAACATCATTTTGCGATCGCAAAAGCGTTTGCAAAACAGTCATCATATAGCGGTTTCGTCATTTAATGAGGTAATCGTTAAGCAAGGCACCACTGTACTTCAGAGATGGTCCTGAGGCCTGACACAAAGCATGGATTCCAGCATTCTGTCCTGAAGAAGGATGGCTGAGTAATAGGCCCTCTCTTCTTCCCTCAAGGGTCTTGAATAACTCTAGTCCCATAAATAGCAGAGCTAGCCTAAACAGGAAGACTGACCATTTGACCTGGAAGTTGCCTTCTATTGCACAGTTATCAACTCTACCTCTAGAGAAACAGCCATCACAGCTTCCTGCCAATCCTGTTAAGGCAGGGACAGATTGCTGGATTTGCTCTGTCTTGCAGCATCCAACTAGGGAAAGACCCAACACATATGCAAAACAGCAACACAACTATAGCACACCTGGATGGAGGAAACAGAGTTGTGTGTGTGGCAAGATAAAGGAAAACTTGTCTCCACTGCAGCTGCAGAAAAATTGGACTCCTGCATACTCACAAAAGGGAGAAGATGGGCCTATCAAGAAGGACCAACACATCCATAAATTGAGTGTTCCTGGCAGGTACCTGTCAGTGTCTGCATCACAGTCCTTGCAGGCAGTCATCTCCCAATGCCTTTGGAAAATCTCTACATCTCCTGTGCTCTTACGTGTGGAAGATGGGATAGAACCTTTCTTGATAGTGAACATTAATATGAGCTCATCATGAACCAAGGAAGTAATGAGAGAGAGAGAGAGAGAGAGCGCACATTCTGAGAGGGACACAGATCTCCTTTCAAGCAACAATGCTGGCTTATTCAAACCTCATGTGCTTTTCAGGAGTTAGCAGTTTTAATAACTTCGTTTCCTAAAACTGTTATCACATGTTCTTAGTTAGCAATCATTTCCCCATGAAACTGTCCTCCCTTTTTGGAGGGGGACAGATATATAATCTTTGCCATGGATCAGAAAAAGAAAACAAACACCAGGGTGGATCATAGGCAGCAGTTCCTGCAGACCTTCACTTGGGAGTTGTGACCCCTCTTCTTCTCCTTGAAGAGACTCTGACTGCAATCATATGCAGTTTTCCTAATTTATTTTATCGTAATGGGGCTTGCCACTGAGTATGTATGCATAGACATTCTTGGACTTTAAAAAAACAGTAACAAAAGATAGCATGTGAAAGTTTAAGTTTAAGGGGGAAAACACAATACTAGTGTTTGGTGGGGAAAAGCACTCAATGTGGAAATAAGCGAAATATGGACAGAACTCATGCCAGGGTGGGAGACCTCACTCTCATCGCTTCTCTTTTCACGTTTGGGTTTTACAACAGTGGCCAACCAAGTGCCATCTACAGGCAGCTCCCCAAAGTCATGGTTTCTTTTGGGTTGTTTATTTCTGACATTATACACCACCAGCAGCACCAGCACCCCTTAGTAGAAATCATTATTCGGGGGGGGGTGTCTCAGAGTCCAGGACCCCAGGACACCCTGGGATTTCCAACAGGCCCTCCCAAACACAGTCTTTCTTTTTTTCCATTAAAAGAACTCTCCACCCAGGTATGTTCTGCTCCTGAGGGCAGTTAGGACACTTTTTCAGGGTGGTCACAGGGCCCCACAAGGCCCAAACACAGAAACAGACAGCCAGGCTTTTTTAAAAACCGTCTCAGAGTCCAGGACCCCAGGACACCCTGGGATTTCCAACAGGCCCTCCCAAACACAGTCTTTCTTTTTTTCCATTAAAAGAACTCTCCACCCAGGTATGTTCTGCTCCTGAGGGCAGTTAGGACACTTTTTCAGGGTGGTCACAGGGCCCCACAAGGCCCAAACACAGAAACAGACAGCCAGGCTTTTTTAAAAACCTTTTTTGTTCCCCACAAGGCCCAAACACAGAAACAGACAACCAGGCTTTTTTTAAAACCTTTTTTGTTTTCTTGGCTTGGTGTGTGTAATGTTTATCACGCTTATTTTCCCCAAACCAAGGGCTCACACTATGTCTTCTTAGCAGCAGATCACAATTGGGGCGTTCCCCCCCCTTTTTTCTCACTGCCACCACTGGATTTCCTTTATCCACAACATATAAAGAACTTTCTTCAGACACTTGTCAGATGGCTGCCAACAGAACTGATTTATTGGAAGGTGTTAACTTTAATCAGAATCACCAGTGTTATTTATTCAATGCATATAATCAAATCATTTAAAGATCATATATCTTGCCATCTTCACCACCTGCTTTCTATTTATCTTGACCAGCTTATCTCTATTATTTCTCACTATCTCCTTGACTATCTATCTCTACTTCTTTCTCTGCTTCCCTCTTCCTCTTCTATTTCTCCCTGCCACCTTCCTATATTCTGCTGACTCCACCCCTCCACTCATCTCATAGGCTCATGCAAATGAGGACCAGACTGTGCGTGACAGGAGTGATGTGGAACAACAGTGTGGTTTTTGGAGAGTGCTAGGGTGAAACTTTGGCCCTCCAGTCCTATCAGAATTTCCTATCCCTGGTGTCTACAATCCAGTTGATTCATCCAGTGCCTGGGGGGGGGGTATGTTAATACTCTCTTTAACAAGAGAAACATTCATAGGGGTTCAGATAGGGACCTGGGTGAGAAATCCTGCTGGAAAGGCCTATCCAGTCCAGCATTTAGCAAAATGTTATTGGATGTCCATTTAAGCAGTCAGAGTTTGGTTTAGCCATTGTGGTAACAAATGAGTTTGAGGAACAAAGGGTCATTTTGCAAATGGGTTAAGCTAATGACATCTAAATGCCAGACTGACCTTGGAGGACTAGGCCCCTGACCCAGAAGACCGTATTCACTATGAAACCAGGGTGAGACACAAACTGTGATGGGGAGAGCATATGCCTGTGCACCCATTATGAACCTCTCTCAATGCACAAGGATCAAGCCCTCCCCCCCTCTGCCTGCTAGAGANTTAGGTGTCTGGTAACAGTCCTGTTGCTTCTACATTTCAACACAGCAGCTGTGGGGAAACTGGGGGACCTCCAGAATGGCCAAAGACCACCATCTGTGCGTCCCCTGTGGTGAAGAGACACAGGTGACTGGATTTCAGTTCACCATCGCATGTGTGGTGCTCAGGGCATGCTGCCATTTTAGCTTCTTAAAGAAGACAATGCCTTCTTCTGGTAACAGTCCTGTTGCTTCTACATTTCAACACAGCAGCTGTGGGGAAACTGGGGGACCTCCAGAATGGCCAAAGACCACCATCTGTGCGTCCCCTGTGGTGAAGAGACACAGGTGACTGGATTTCAGTTCACCATCGCATGTGTGGTGCTCAGGGCATGCTGCCATTTTAGCTTCTTAAAGAAGACAATGCCTTCTGCATCTTGCATGGTGGAGAACAACGAGTGAAACATGGATGATAAAGGTGGCTGTTTATATGTGGGAACTTGACATTGCCTTACATTCTACCTTCTACTTTGTGAACTAGGTTTGACATACTCATTCAATAAAATGACAATAATATATCAGCTGCTAACAACAAATCAGAGCTGAGATATCATGAAGTCTAATAAGTCCTTTGGGTAGTGATGCAAAAAATAATAATCCACGTTTCACCTCCCACACTTAATAAATTATTTCCATTGTTTCCTCCAAGGAATACAATAATCTCTTAAGACACAAGGACACACCAGATCATTTCTGCAAACTGTTTTTATTGGAATGTGTAAATTGGAATGGGCAAATGACAGAAATTTGCAGGTCCTCCATCCACTTCTTAAAATGTAGCCTGAACAGCCTCGGTCACGTGCTGCTTCAGTTCCATAAGGTTTTGTAGAGCAGAAGAGATATTCAGGACACTCCATTCTTGCCCACTCACTGTGCTAGAATGGTGGTAGGACAACAGCTCTATTTTGGCCTTTCCCAACAACCCTGCGAAGAGATGAACACTCAGCTCACATACCTTGGGAGGCAGACAGGAGAAATATGGCGCTCCAGCCCTCACAATGCTCCTAGACCCGCCAAGCGCCCTCTGACCAAAACTGCTTCAATAATAGCAAGTAAGATGGAGCTGCCTCCTCTTGAATGGATACAGTAGAGAGGGGCTGGGGAGGCAAATTTCAGCTCTACGCATGCTGCTGGGCTGCAGTTCCCATCATCCCTCACTGCTGGCTAACGCTAGTGGGAGTTGAAGTCCAACGTATAGAGCCACCTGTTCTCTATTCCTGTAGCGATATACCTTATAAGAAGAGTTTGTACAAATGGCCATCTTCTTGAGGGTCTACTTTACATTAAATAAGCAGCCCAGAAGTCTTGCCCCAATTTCTTCACTTGCCTGGCACAGATCTCAGCACATCCCTCCCCAGAAGCTGACCCCTGAATCTCTTCAGATCATATGGTTATTTGGTTCCTGGTCAAACCCTACATCCTTCACATGAATATCCTTGGGGGATTTCCACTTTTTGTCTACCCAGCCTTGTAACATTCCCCCCCCCTCCGATTGTAATCCAAGCCCTTTCTCATCTATTTCCCACACCTATCCCAGGCAACTAAGGGATGTCATAACCACAAACCCTTCCCACATATCTTTTCAGTTCCCCCAACACAGGCTAGGAGCAGTGGTCCCCAACCTTTTTGCCTCCACAGACCAGTTTAACATGCGGGGGGGGGGATCCGTGCATGCCAAGGATGGGCCGTGGGAGGGGCTATGCATCTGTGGGAGGGGTTTTGCATGTGCAGGAAGGGCTGTGCATGTGTGGGCAGGGCCATGTGGGAGGAAGGGGCCATGGGAGGGGCTGTGAGTGCATGGGAGGTGCATGCATGCATCTGCACATGCAGAAGGGCAGGAGATTTATCTCTGCAGCCTGGTCCTGGCAAGGCTATGGACTGGGACCGGTCTGTGGACCAGGGGTTTGGGACCCATGGGCCAGGGGAATGAGGCTCCAGGAAATGCTCCAGCGATGGCCCAGAGTGCCTCGTTAAGCGATTTCATCGCTCAGCGAGGCACTCATTAAGCGAGGCACCACTGTATCTTTTCAGTTCCCCCAACACAGGCTAGGAGCAGTGGTCCCCAATCTTTTTGCCTCCATGGACCAGTTTAACATGCGGGGGGAGGGGAATCCGTGCATGCCAAGGATGGGCCGTGGGAGGGGCCATGCATCTGTGGGAGGAGCTTTGCATGTGCAGGAAGGGCCGTGCATGTGTGGGCAGGGCCGTGTGGGAGGAAGGGGCCATGGGAGGGGCCGTGAGTGCATGGGAGGTGCATGCATGCATCTGCACATGCAGAAGGGCAAGGCCATGGACAGGGACCGGTCTGTGGACCAGGGGGTTTGGGACCCATGGGCTAGGGGAATGAGGCTCCAGGCAAGATGGCATTGGTACCAACAGTGCTGAGGCACCAGTCCCAGAAAGAGTCAGTAACCAGGCAGAGCTGCTGCTAGTGGCATACAATCCAGGGCAGCTGGAACTCTGTCCCTCAGAAAACACACTTCTGGCACAGGCAGTGATCAGAGAAGCACCGCCCCTCTTTGCATTAGTTCACAGACAAGAGCTTATCTGTTGCCAGCTCCACAGCACTGAGAAGGCTGGATGGGCTGCCAGGGAGAGAAGTCCTTCTGCTCACCAATGACGGTTGGTAACAGGCTAGCACTGGAGACTTTGGCTCTGTAGAACAACATTGTTCCAGTGAGGGGAACAGACGGTTTGAAGACTGCTCCGCTGAGGTGACACAGGACAGGAGTGCTCCCTTGCACTGAGCCAACCAGCACATAGGGGGCATCCTGGACAGCAAGTTCCAGCAGCCCCTCTTCACTACCTTCTGTCTTGTCATGGTGAGTGGCGGTGATCTGTGCAGAAAACAAGCGAAAAGTGCATGATGCCTCGCGCTACAGAGGACAGCTGTTTCCCTTCCAGAGACCAGTTGCTGAGCTCTCATTTACCATTGAGAGGAGAGCCAGAGAGGCACCAAGAACATGCATGATCACAGGTCTTTATGAAGGTAAAGGTAGCCAAAGTGCTAGAATATTTCTAGAAACACAGTTATGTGAGTCTGGAGAACCTGTACAATCAAATGGATGTCAGGAAAACCTTGCAGCTTCTTTTAAGCAGTCCACAGAAAACAGCCCCCCAAATACATCACACTGGCTGATCTTCATGCTCCCAATCTTTTAAGCAGTCCACAGAAAACAGCCCCCAAAATACATCACACTGGCTGATCTTCACGCTCCCAATGGGATAGCGCTTGAATGAAGGTGGGGCGAGTGGGGTGCGGGAATCCATGTACCTTAAGCCCAGCTTCCTGTGCTAAAAGCAGCCCATTCACCAGGTTGACATTCTTCTGTGCTGTTTCTTTAAGGAGTCCCACGGCCACTGCAGGAATCAGGTAACCGCCAGCCTTCTGCAAAGTTGAACCTGGTAAGCAGGACAGATATGGTCAAATCACCCAAATGCCCCCCCTCACAAAGTGTTCTTCCCTCCCCCCTCTGTAACCAGAAGATTGGAATGATACCCATCAGCAAAGCAGAGACTCTTATCTCTAGAGCCATGCCAGGAGCATTTCCTCCCCATCCCCAACAGAACTTTGGCCCCCCAATTGCCTCTTGACAAGGAACGGACAGCTGGGTGGACCCAGACCATCTCCTCACATCCGTCCCTTTCGCCAGCTGCACTCCTTTAAGCAAGCATGGGACACTAACAAGCTCCTAGACCAGGAGTGGACAGCTATTACTGGACTGCTATTGCCAGCGTTCCTTACCACGGGCTGCATGTGGCAATAAATTATGCAGAAATCTTCCTTTGGTTCACTGTCGTGATAATGTCAAAGGGACACAAGGAGAGGGGTTGAAAAGCTCTTAACAACCCTTAACAGAAGCAGGAAATGACACACATATAGCTCTAGAATGCCCTCGACTCGTGAAGCCACCCTGAGCAAAGAGCAGAGTTTCTTCTCTCTTCTGTGCTACCTGCTTCCCACAAGGATTAACTGCTCTTAAAAATTAACATTTATTAGGTACCAAGATGAGAGGAGGCCTTTTGTAAAACCTCAGAGCATCAGTCACAGGCCTCCTGCACAAAAGCCTTGCAATCTTGCCAGAAAGCTCTGCTCTGCTCTCCAAACAGGTCAATTGCAGGGAAAGATGCTTCTCCAAGTGCAGGAAGACAGTTCAGACAGAAGGTTAAATGCTGAGTGGAGAAAGAAACACAAGGCAGACAGGACAGAGCACCTCTGTTAGACCGGAAAGATGAATAAGCAGATGTCTATGAGTTCCGTGAATCTGGCCACACTGGAGGCAGAATTCAGCTCCCAAGAATCTAGGATTTCAGACATACAACATGGCTGCAGCAATAGTATTGAAAGCAGACAGTTAATGAATAGCAAGCTCTCAGTAAAAAATATATAGGCTGCAAAACCCAGCTTTTCTTCACACAGATTTTTTTCCCCTGTATTAAAGCACTGGTGCCTATGGGGAGGTGAGAGAATTGAGACAGAAGGGTAGACAGACTCAGAAGTGAAAAGGCTGGAGGCTAGGTCCTCCTGGTGCGAGGTCCTGGATTTCTCGTCTCACCGTGGGTGACAACTTGCACGCCTCTATTGGCAGGGTGAGTCAGGGCACACAACACAGTCCCCAGAGCTCCTGCCAGTGCGATCCATGGCTTGGTCTGGGATGCATAGGCACTGCTGAGAGCTTGCCCATTTACCTAAGGAAAGGAAGAACAAAAGCATAAGAGTGCTGCCAGGAAAGTGGGGTCCATAACCAACAGAAATCCTTTGCTCCCATTACTCATTTTACAAGGATACTCATTGCCGTCCCTCTCAAATACTTTGTGAAGGACAGGATTCTTTCCATGCCAAGCGCCTTCTACCTATGCCTTCTTCCAAATCCACCCACAAGCCCACCCTAAGGACTGCCTTAGAGCAGAGGTGTCAGTTTTAGAGCTGATCATCCCTCCTCCTTTGATAGCGGTTTTGGCCAGTTTGCCTTGGGTCAGTTCCATGGCTACAGTAACTGGCTAAACAACAGTGCTGGGAGTTAAGCCATACACAAAGTCGGGTTTGCTGAGTAAAGTATTTTTTTCAGTCTGGCTCACCTTCTCTGGAAGCACAGTTAGCATCTTTTAATTTGGCCATGTTTTTACTGCAAACCACCTCAGCTCTACTGCACAGTGTACCTTGTAAAGTACTCAAAAACATAGCAAAAGCAAGTATACTGGAGTTCTGCTAGACCCCAGCTATTTCACAGATCTGTCAAGGATTAATTTCCACACTGAGGCAGAGCAAGGCCCATGATAATAAGTAGCCATATTTGACAGGTGTGGAAAATGCTGAGTCACGCAGTATGTGTATTAAATGAAGTAGTGTCTGGGGTAATGTGTATAACTGTGTGGACATGTGGAGAAGATGCAGGATCTCTTCTGATGAATGTCATGCTGCTGGTTTGTACTGCTAAAACTGCTGTATATACCGTAAATATACCTGATGTTGGAAGACGTTGTCTTTGTGTGATTCAACTGGACTGCCTGGACTGGGACAAAAACTCTGCTAATTTACACCAACAAAATCAAGATCAAATTTTAGAAAAAGAATAAAATACAGACACTAAGCTTACTTTTTCCATCAAACATACTTTGTTAAAGCATCACTCAAGGAGCAGCTTGAAAGGAGGACTCACCGCACCGACCAGTGGCTTGCCCTGGGTTAAGTCCACCAGTTGTACGGCAATCTCCTTTCCGCAGCGGCTCTGGGCTTCTCTGGTGCTGGCCCCTAGGTGGGGGCAGCTGATCACATTGGGGTGGTTGATTAGTGCCTTGTCCTTGGGTGGCTCCTAGAGAGGGCAGAAAAGTTTGATTAGTTGCCTAACCCTAACCCTCACCTCCACAAGACTATTACCCACAGCACTGCACTCTCCAGTCTGTCACTGGCAACAGACCAAGGCTGAACCTTGAAAATACAGAAGCTCTGAAGGCAAGTAATTCACAGGTTCCAAATTTGGGAAGTTCACCAGTCCTGGATGGCACTTCAGATCCCCTGAAAGAAGAGATAGTAGCTTGGGAGCACTCCTAGATCCAAGAACATCCATGAAGGATCAAGAATCCTGTTTCTGCCATTAGCTTGGCTTGGAATGTCAGCAGCGCCCCTTCCCAATGAGGAAACTTAGCCATTGTAACCCATACACTTGTAGCCTCACAAGTGGATCACTGCAATGCACTCTATGTGGGGCTCTCTGGAGGTGCAGATATCATGAGCAGAAGCAGGTTGCGTGCACAAAATATGATGCTTTTGCTGAAGAAATTCCACTGGTTGCCTTTTTGCAACCAGACCATCTTTAAGGTCTTGTTGCTAACTTGTAAAACCTTGAACACGTTGGGGCCAGATTGCCTGAATGATGCTCTTCCCCATTTAGAAGACTACTGGAAAATGCTGCGCTCTGATCGCTTGGGGCAGATGCTGGAAGTGCACCACATTCACCAGATCACCCTAAGGCAGTGACCGAGAAACAAAGGTTTTCTGTGATGGCTCCTTGTCTTTCGGAATGGCTGCCCCCCTGGTGTGTTTTCAAGGTCTTCTGAAGACAGCTTTTGCAAGGTTCAATGTGGGATCTTACAGCTGATGCTTGCTTGTTGTTTTATATTTTTGAAACAAGATTACAAAGCGATTAGTCTTAATAAGAAACATTAGAATTTTTTAAATGGTACATACATAAATGAAAGAGTCTCCTTGCCAAATGTAGCAAAAACTAGAAGACACTTTGCCAGCCTTGACTGCATTCTCCTGGGAAACCCATGGAGAAAGTATGGATGTGGGAGTCTTGAAGCATGGCATGGCCTCTGCTCCCTCCCTCTGTCCAGCAGAACCCTATGCCTGGAAGCATTCAAAACTTGGGAGTCTCCTTCCTCAAATGTTTCCATCCATGCGAATCATTCCTTCACAAGGCTGATGTTCCTCTCTTTAAGGCAGACAGATATCACCCTGCCCAAGGTCATTAACGTGTAATTGGAGATAGGGAGGGGGCTGGCAGTCTTGGCCTAGAGACCAAATGGTTCTTCCTCGTGTTAGAAAGAATCTTCACCCACTCAGCCAGGCAAAGATAAGCAAGGCTCACTTGAGGTCTCAGATAACAGAAACATGTCCCATCTCGCTCCCACCTCTCGCCCTGAGGAAGAATAGGAAGGAAAACTTAAGTGTTCCAAAGCCTCACCTCTGTGAAAACATCAAGGGCTGCTCCCCCACACTGGCCAGACTGAAGGGCCCTCAGAAGGGCCCCCTCATCCACAATGCCACCTCGAGCGCAGTTGATCACCTGGACCCCAGGCCGGCATTGGGCAAAAGTGGCATCATTCAGGAGCCCTGGAAAGGAAAGGACAGTGAAAGGAGAGGATTCCTACACACCCTTCAGGTCCACGCCGGCCACAAGCACATACCAGATGCTTCAGCCATCAGCGTTACCAGTCATCATGGAGAGGGGGGTGAGATTCCATTTCCACAATTACATCAGCCCAGACAGCAGACTTAAATGCCGTCCTGAGAATCCATGATTCCTGGTTTGTTAGTTTAAAAAAATGTATTTCTAACCATTAACTCTAGAGCTGACAATGTACAGGCAGTGCCTGGTGAAGTCTCTGAAGAAACAGTGGAGACAAAAAAAATGCCAACTCTTCCCCTGACCTTCACAAGTAGCAAAGAAGGAAGTATGTTCTCTAAGTTAAATGTTTATTTTTCATTATTTCCTCTGGCCACAGAATTCAAGCGTTGTTGATACAGAATTTAACCACTAGCCCAGAATCTAGCTTCCCCATTCAATGTCACTAGCTGACCCTTTCACTTTCATAACTCAACCTCCCTTGTGGTTTTGGGTCTTCCTCGGGTCTGTCCGCTGCTTTCTACACACCAACCCATGCAAGACGCCTTATTTTTATTGAATCCCACCATCTGCAAGCAAGTTGTCAAGGCCCATTTCCCAAAAGATGAAGTTTTGCTGCCCTTACTGTCCACTCACACAATTCTCCCCGACACAAAAAAATGAGGTGTGCATGTCTGGACAAGTAGATGTGCATATGCACGTACACAAAGAGTCCAAAACCCTGCAAAGGTCCCTCTGTGATGGCTAGTGTCCTCTTTTTTTTTAAAATCCCAGGCGGCATCTCTTACCTGTGGTGGAAGGCAGGAGTGGGGTGTGAACTGTGATGAAATCACACAGTGGCCAGATCTGTTCCAGAGACAGCTGTTCTACACCAAAGCTAGCAGACTCCTCAGGAGTGATGATGGGGTCGTAGCCTATGGTCTAAAGACACAGCAGTGGGGCAGGTGGGTGGAAGAAGGGAGTCCATTCTTTAAAATGCCAAGGTGACTTCTGCCTGCCAGTAACCACCCGTGGTCGCTTTAAAGGTTTGCTTACCTTCATGCCAAAGGACTGCATCCGGATGGCCACTTCTCGCCCAATTCTGCCGAGGCCTAGAATGCCCAGCGTCTTCCCCTGAAGCTCCATCCCCATGAACTAGGGCGGAAAGGACACACAGGTGGGAAATTGCTACAGGCTGGGCAGCATGCCTCCCTGCCCCAGCATCATCACAAGGCAGCAAGTAATGGTGAAAGCGCCAGCCCCTTACCTTCTTGCGGTCCCATTTCCCTTCCTTCATTGAAGCTGCAGCCTGGGGGATTTGCCTAAAACAAGAGTCTCTATTTTAGCAAGACCCAACGAGTGCCCCAGACTGTAACTAGAGGAACTAACTGCATGACCAAAATGAAAAATCCTAATTTTAAGAATGAAAATGGAGCAGTTTCATCTGCCCCACCTGCTTTTTTCCCTTGTACCCCACACCTCTCAGCAATTCCAGAGACGTTTGCAGGAGCATATATTCTGCAAGAGGAGAGTGTTGCTGAAAGAGCTGATCCTCGGTATGATGGTAACAGGAGAAAGGGCCAAGTGTCCTCTCCTCATCGGTGCTGTGCTCCACATCATCTCCTCTCAATGCCACTCTTCCGCAAGAAGAAATGTAGCTGCCCTGACTTGTCTGCACATACTTGCATGTAACGAGGAGCGGTCAACCTTTCCCAGGCTCTTTGACCCACAAGCAAAACATGGTTTCAGATCAGGACAATGGCAGCCCAAGGTGCTGCTGGGGTGCCACTTTCTCGGGCGGAAGCCAGGACACTTACCGGGCCAGACTCATGATCATGCCACATGTCAGCTCCGCTGCACTCAGGCTGTTGCCAGTGGGTGTGCTAAGGACCAAAGCAGAGAGAGGGGAACGTTGGACTTGGTAGGAAGGGCAAAGACAGCATCCAGCGCTTGTGGGGTCCAAGGTTTCCTTGCCAAAAGTCATGCTTTCCACCCTGACAGAAGCTGAATAATTGCAATCAGAGGACAATGCTCGCTCCAGGCTGCAAGACGTTAAGTATTCCAGGGTCAAACCTTCATCACAGCCCCTGGCATTGAAACTCTGGGATGCAGTGCTCCGAATATATTCTTGGAGGAGAGCCCTGCCTTGAGATTCGACTGAAACTAGGGGCTCAACCATATAACGAGGAGTCTGCTTAAGGGGGCCTCTCTCAGGGAACCTTCTTGACCCACCACTCTTCTGCCTTCATGCCTAACTGGCAGTATGGAAAACCTCTCATGTAAAAGAGCCGGCACCTTTCTGCTCTAATCCCCACAATGTGTGCATAAGTCCCTGCACAGGCAAAATGACATGGCCTGCCATTTTAAAGCAAAGGGGAATCCCTTCCTCTCCCCTTTCCTCCCCAGCCCCCCATTTCCTTCTGAGGCATGACAAACCTTTCCCAAACCTTTCCCATCCAGGGCAGATGAACTGTGCTGCCAAGCTCACCAAGATGGTGAGCCATAATTCAGCACTAGAGGTGTGAGCCTAGGAGAGCTGTAGGCTTGCACCCACCCAACCTCTCCATTGCATTTGTGAGGAGGACACTGGAAATTCCCCTTCTGTTTTTAGTTAAGTGCCATCATGAAAAGGCAGAAAGCATAAAAATCATTGTTTGAATTACAAACCAACATTAAAGCACAGTTTAGTATCACAAGCCAACCAGAGTGGCGTCAAGGCAAGAGGAGGACCTACATCCCCTCCAGCCACAGCTCCATATATAATGCTCTGACGCTGTATTTGCTTTGTCTGGCAAAAGATCTTCCTCAACCCAAATAGATCACATAATATATCACTCAGGTAGCTTATATGGTTTAAAAACCTCTTGATAAGCTAAAAACATTCCCTAGTAGCCAGGCAGTGTTTTCTTAAGCTCAAGCTGTTATTTTTCCTTCAGATTTTTCCAGATCTTGCTCCCATCTGAGATATCACGTCTGAGATATTGCTTTTTGCCAGACAAGGGGAAAAGGGAATTTCAGCTGTAGTTCTACTGCAGCTCTTAGCCCAGCCCCTTTATTGCCATTAAAATCTCATGACAAGAGCAAACAATAATGCCTGATGTTGAAGGAAGGAAGGGACCCCTTGTTGAGCAAACAAATGAAAGAAAATATCAGACAGATTGGCACAGTTGTATTCCTGCACAGCAACATTTTCAAAATGCGCAAACAAATGAAAGAAAATATCAGACAGAGATGGCACAGTTGTATTCCTGCACAGCAACAACATTTTCAAAATGCTAATTAAACATCTGAAAATAGTTAATGCATTAAAAATATTGTGGGGGTGTTCCCCCCCCCAAGAGAAAGAGTGGGTGACCTGGTGAAGAGTGGAGCAGGTCCCTGCCGACGGAGGCAGCTGTACAACAACTGATCCTGAAAGCAACCTTTCTCCAATTCTCCAAGACCAGGATCAAGGAGCACCTCCCTTTGGGGCACTTCCCTCAACCCTGCAGAGACCCACCTTTGGCTCCAGCTGTGGGGAAGGGAGAATTTCTATCCCTTCTCCCCCTACAGGGGTTGAGAACTGGTTTAGTATTTATTTGTTCCTGAAATCTCAGTGGAGCTGGATGTTCATGGTCCCAGATGTTGTGCTTTTTGAGTCATTGCAAAAGGCAGTGAGGAAGGGGGGCTGTTAAGAACAGAGACAGACATACTAAATAATCCCCCATCCTGTAAAGCAATATGGACAGCAGGAAGGAAAAGCTGAACATTTGTAGAAACAAGCATGTGGCATGAGCACTACAGCTCGGCAGTAGCATGCTGAATGTCTCCCATTCAGTCTCTGGCATCTCCAGCTAAACAGAAGCAATCAGCTGGTGATGGACGTACCTTCTGCCAGTCTGCCCCACTGCCAGCACCGTTGTGACAAAAACTGGGCTAGGTATAAAAACAGCTGAACCTGGAAAAAATCAGGTTCTTTCACTTACAGTCGTAATAACGTACCATATTTTCACTGAACAATGAAAGAAATTTGTAGCCCAGAAGACAGAGGGGTCATTCAATCATTCCATGGGGAGGAGGGGATCATTCTCCTAGTGGGGAAGAATGAAGGATTCCAGCCCTGAGAGAATATGGCACAACTTGGCTGTGGAGGAGTACATCAAAAGAAGCCCTATCTTTCTCTCGAGAGACAAAGACCAGGGTTTTTCTCCTTTGATGCTCAGAATGCTTCACTGCCAAGACTTCCCTTTTGGCTAAAGTGATCTTTTGGACCACCAAATTGCTCCAAGGCCACACACCCTCCTCATGTGCCTCTCTAGGAAACATGGTGAAATATCGATGCCAAATGTGGGATTTCACAACTGCAGACTTTGAGCTGGAGAAGGAAAGAGAGGGAGTGCCCCTGCCGAGGCACCACACAAGATGCGGAAGGAGAGGCAGGGTCAGGCTCCTAGAGTTTGCAAGCTTTGGCCTGGGGACCAAGACCAGATAAAAATGTGTGGAACTGGGTAGGGGAGAAGAGAATGACATGTAAAATACTGGAACACAACAGGCTGACAATGATGTTGTCAAGATCCTCTATCATAATTGAGTGAAAAAAGGAGGCAATACTATTAAAAGAGGAAGGGGAGAAGCAGACAAAAAGTCCAGAAAGGTGTAAATGGTGTGTTATCAGAACCATTCATCTTCTCACCCTTGGGACCATGAAGCTGTCAGTCCTCTGCTTTTCCACTGCACTGCCTGGCATGGGCAAGAGCCAACGTGTGGCTCCATCCCACCTACAGCCTTCCTCTGGTCTCTTATAACCCTCTCTCCCACTTGAGAAATGGCCTGGCAGCTTACTTCATGACCAGGATGCCTTTCCTTGTAGCAGCTTCAACATCGACATTGTCCACACCAGTGCCAGCTCTCCCAATGACCTGCAGCTTCTCAGCGGCATTTATGATGTCTGCAGTGACTTTGGTTGCGGATCGTACAATGAGGCCGTCACAATCCTAAAAAGAAAGAGAGTAAATGGGCTGAGCAATCAGACCAGAGGTGAGCAAAGTGCTGCCCAGAGACCTAGAAGCTTAGGCTGAGCCTATAGCACGACCCTTTGCATAGCTCACTGTCCCTCCCAGTCCTATCTCCAAGCCTTTGGCGGCCGCAGTCTTCAAGAATGGGAAGTCTTCCCCAAGGTAATCTAAGACAACCATCAGTGAAAGCCGAGTTTTGCAATCTAAATATAAATCATGCACATCCAGAAGCTATAATGTAACATTGCTCCTGTGACATAATCCTAAAAATGTTGCTGTTTTGTCCTCTTTTTTTGTAACATGATGATGAGCAAGAAACTAGAGAGGCTACCAAAGCACCATTCTTCCCAGCCACTGGAAATCGTATCCAGCCAAGCACAAGGGAAGTTAGCAAGTTTCCCCCCTTACACTCTCATGAAAGATTTAGAGGCAACCCTACTGGTTCATTGGTTGGAGGCGGAGTGGGGGTGGGGCAAGAGCCATATGTAGTTTGGGCAGTGTAATCATTCACTCAGGAGGCAACCCTACTGGTTCATTGGTTGGAGGCAAGAGCCATATGTAGTTTGGGCAATGTAATCATTCACTCAGGGTGAGGAAGATGTCACAAATAGCCTGGCAGCTCTTCACATTCTCCAGAATTTCAGGCTCAACCTCAGGGATAGGCAAAATGGGGTGCAGGGGAAAGCGAAAGGGGAAAAAGAAGAAATAGTTGAGTGTGACAGAAAACCCACAAGGTCTGTACATTTGAGTCAGAACTTGCGCTGGGTACAAAACCAGATGCACCAATAGTTCTTCGGGATAGGCAAAATGGGGTGCAGGGGAAAGTGAAAGGGGAAAAAAGAATAAACAAATGAGCGTGACAGAAAACCCACAAAGTCTGTACATTTGAGTCAGAATTTGCGTTGGGTACAAAACGAGATGCACCAATAGTTCTTTTCCACATTTTAAGACTATTTATAAGTACCTTCTGTTGCTTGTACCTGTCTCCAGTTCTGTGCAAGTGTTCCTTGCAAGAAAGAATGACAAATTGGCAGCCCTTAAAAAGTGTGATGACAGTTTCCAGTCTTGCACCTAGATAATGAGTCATATCAAATTGTGCACTACGGTCTATAGTGGATAGAGGAATTAATCCCCAGTGCTAAATCCCATCTTCAGGTGAGAGTGAGACATTTCTCACTAACTTGAGAATCCTTCCTCCCCGGAAGCTACATTTAAGACTTAGTCTGGATCCAATGTTGACAAACTACGTGTATAATGGTATGCAGTACAAACACTTAATGTTATTGGCACTCATGCCATGAGGCACCCAAGTCTTCATTGCAGATGTAGAAATTTGCAGAAACTCCAAGATGGAGTTCCTGCGGTTAGCACCTGAGAATGGGATTTAGCGGGGAGCAGGGTGGTGGTGGTTGCCCAGCTGATGATTCCAGCATCCAACCTCAAATTCAGTCAAGCTAAGTGCTGGCTGGACAGCTCTGTGGTTTAGGTCTCTGGCTGCAGAGCCAGACCCTGGAAGTCTTCGTAATCAAATTGCCTTGAATGATGTGTTCTAATTTACATTTCTTAGCAACTATGGAGCAAAGTACAGTAACCATTTAGCATTACAGTAGGCATTTCTCGCTTTAAACTGTTTTTTTTCTTTTAACAAATGTAGTTCGCCTGTGGACAATGTGTCTCAATATCTCTAAGTCATTCAAAACCTTATTTTCTATGTCACCACATGCCAAAAGAGAGACCCAGTCACCTTCACATACATGTAACTTGTAAATTCACCAACGATTCTAAGGGCACAGGAGAATGTGCCAGGAGAAAACATGCAAAATACTGACCTCCTGTGAGGAGCTAATCTTCATGTCCTACATTTTCAGGGTTTGTTAGAGAAATCCCACCCCTTTAAGGCTTCCCTAGTCACCCCGGCCTTGGCTAACACTAACCAACTATTTCCACCATTTCGCATTCCCTGTTTCCTACTTCCAGCACACCCAGTCTGCTGGAGGGTAGGAAAGGGAGTTGGCCTACAAGTTGCAACAGCTGTCGGGGCCAAGCATTTCTGCTGCCTGAGACAGAAAAGGCAGCCACTTCCCAAACATGCTCCCCTTGTGCTACACTCCAGCATGCCTACACTCAGGTACAAACCCTCCATGACCTTATTCAGGTATGGGCAGGAAGAAAAGAAAAGGGCCACAAGTTCCCACTGAATTTCAACAGAAACACAGCACATGGTCAGGTGAGGGGCAAACGTCTCCTGAAAGGAACTGGGACCGATCATTCAGATTCAAGTCACCACCGGCTCCAGACTCCAATCTCACTTTTACTGCGGGGCCGGGAGGCGGGGCGGGAGTAAAAGGCTGCACTTGGGCCTCCACCGCAACCATTTCCCGAACACAGCAACCTCTACTACGTGTGCATGTAGGATTTAACTTTCTCCCCTATCTCAGCCCCACGATCTTTGCAGTTTGGGTGCTCCTACGCCACTCTGCCAAGGGAATGGCATGTTACTAAACGACAATAGATCGGTAAGTTTTAAAGGGGTCGTTCAGGCACTTAGTTATGCTATGAACAGCGTGTCTCCGATCATGTGCAAAGTGTCCTCTCTTCACTATGACGCCGAATAGTTCAGGATGGACCCCAAACTTCATGGATCTCAGTCTGAGCTCCATAAAGGACAGGGGGAGGGGAGCCGCGGGAGAGAGAGCAAAGAGACACACGCCTTGCAGTGTCCAGAGTGGGACTCCACACTCTTTCGAGCCAGGGGGTCACGACGATCGGCGAAGGCGGGAGGCAGGCAGCGGAGCTCGTCTGCCTGCCAAAGTGACGACTGGCTGCCGATCTTTCCTTTCCGCCTCCCCCCCCCACGCCCCCCCCCCCCCCCGCCGTCACTTTCTGGAGGCTGGGGAGAGGGAAGGGGCGCTACTTTTCGAGCTCCCACCCCCAACGGGCACGCGCGCTTTTCTGTGCGGTCTTACTTTGATCTCGGCCAGCAGCTGCTCCTTGCTGAGGTTGGCCTTCTCCAGGACGCGGATGCCGGCCGCCTGCAGGATCTGCTTGCAGCAGGGGTCCAGGCTGTCGCTGATCAGCACCTTCGTCAGAGTCGTCGCCGCGCTCGGCGCCATCCTCGCCTCTCGCTTCGTTCGCGCCGGGGAAAGGGAGCCAGCTCGCCTCCTCGGGGCGCGATAAAGGCAAGGCTTCTCGCTCCGTCCTATTGGAGCAGAGCGCCCTGGCCCCACCTCCGCCCCCTTTTCCCACCGCCGCCCGCGCCCCCCCCCGCCACCGGG